TTAAACAAGTTTTATTAAGGCAATGTACAATTCGTACAACTTGCGAATAGGCTCGAGCGTGTCCTACAATAACGAAGGCACCTATGATAATAACCTTTCGCCTTAGCACTGTATCGTGATCGTTCCGCACATAAAATTACAGTGCTATGCATGTGCACGTCGTTCCGTCTGTAGGTACCATGGGCGTATCCGGGAGGTAGCACACCAAACCCAAAGCCCCCCCCCCCCCCCCCCCCGCGCCCCGAAATATTTTTTAGATGCGGAGCATCTAATACTCGAGGCTTGTAGTGCGGCGCCGTCCGCAAGCTTCCTCCTCCTTCTTCCACCATCTGTGCATCCCTTCCTCCTCTACACACCGCGCGCGCTTCACTCCTCCACCATCTGTGCACCCTTCCTCCTCTACACACCGCGTGCGCTTCTCCACTTCACGAACATTCGCTAGCTGTATAATGTAGCGCGCATGCGCCGTCACGCTTCGAGAACATCGGCAGCTGACGCGCGCGCATGCGCCGTCGCGCTTCGAGAACATCGGCAGCTGACGCGCGCGCATGCGCCGTTGCGCTTCTCCCCCTTCTCGAACATTCGACAGCTGACAGTGCATGCGCCGTCGCGCTGTATATATACTCAAGGTCGGTGCTCGCTCGCTCAGTTGCCGCTCGTCGGTTGGTTTGTACGGCGCGTCGACGTCCGAGATGGCAATGATCGACGTCCCTTCGACCAGCGCCGGCCAAAGTGTTGGCGGAACCGCAACCAAGTCGTCGTCCGAAGACAAGGCAGCGCGGAGAAGAGCTCGCGACGCCGAACGTAAACGTCGGCGTCGAGCGGAAGATGTTCAACTTAGAGAACGTGAAGCCGCTGAGAGACGTCAGCGTCGAGCAGCAGCACCGGATTCGGCCGCTTTGAAACGTAAGCGTCGACAAGAGGACCCGGACTTTCGAAAACGGGAAGCCGAGTGCAAGCGTCGGCGACGAGAGGCCGATCCCGATGCTGCCCGCGAGCGCAAGCGCGCCGAGGTAGCGGCGTGGCGCGCCAAGCAGTATGCCACGCCCAACGCTCGCTTCAAGCGCGACTTCCTCGACCGAAGCTTCGGCCACACCTGCAAGGTGTGTGATCGTCTTTGGTTCGATAACAACTTAACTCGGATCGGCAACATTCAGAACAATTCCAAAGCGTTGTCGGTTCTTTGCGATACGTTTGGAAAGGGCACCGACTATGCCGACTACGTCGTGTGTGCTACGTGCAAGCAGTCGTTGATTGCCGGTCGAGTTCCCTCGGCTAGCGTGAGTTACGGCTACCGCTACCCGCCCCGACCCGAACATCTACCCGAGTTGAACGCGGTTGAAGAACGACTCATCGCTCCTCGACTCCCGTTCATGAGTATACGACGCTTGACTCACGGCAACGGACAGTACGGAATCAAGGGCCAGATCGTGAACGTTCCCATCCAAGTTCCCACTGTCGTTAGGTGCTTGCCAATTATATGCTCCGCATCCTCCTCAGTGTTCCCCCGAGGGAAGCTGCGGGCAATTTTTTTGCCGTGGCATAGAGAGCAGGAGGAGGAAGAAACTTTATTCAGAAAAAAAAAATTGAAATGCAAGCAGTTTGGTCGGGCCCTCAGTCCAGGGCTCCGCTGGCACGAGTGGCTCGCTGGACCTGGTCAAGCAAAGCTATTTGGCTCTGCTTGTCCTCGTCCGCAAGCCATGCCTCCCACTGCCTGTGAAACATGTGTGGTTGCTTCGTGATGTGTCGGAATGATTACTTTAAGGGGGTGCAAACCCCGAAATCAAAGTGATGCCCACCTCCCTCTCCAAAAAAAAAAAATATTTTTGGCTACTCCCCTGGCAGGTACACCCTTTTTCGAGCCTTAACTTTCACTCCCCAGTAGAACGCTGATACAACTGCACTTCTAATAACATTAATAACTACTGTGATTTGCTAACTGGGAATAAAACATAGCTCATTTCTCCGTGTAACGGGCACCACTGATGATGATGTTGGAAACAATTTAGTACTCCTCACGAGGGTGCAACAGCTTGTCCATATACACTCATTTTTGGGAGTCTTTGTGCCCGTATCGACCGTGGAGTATGTTTATTCCACTTTGCTTCACCCTCCTTGCAATGGAGTGAAAATGGAGTTTAAAAACAGTTAACTCCCCTTTCTGATGTGGGTGCTTAAAACATCATTTCTGAGTAGAACTTTACGAGGGTAAACATAGTTGTATTCATTCTTTTTGTCAGACGATGTTAGTACACTGCAAGCCTGTTCAGTAATTTCTAACCCGAGATGTTCGACAGAAATATAAGCGTAAAAACAATTATAGTGCCAGTTGGATGAACAAAAATAACTGGGGCTTTACAGGTCCGCAACGGTATTGCGAAGTACCCGAACTATTGCTGGCCTTTCTAACGCACTCTAAAAAATATCGAGTAAAAAGGGTGTCTTTTTGTGCACAATAATCGTCATCAGGCTTGCGTGCGCTTCCTTTCTTGAAAACTCGGCGTTGGTCACTTTCCCATCGAGAATGCAATGTAACCTTGATAATGGGCATATCGATCGTGACCGGAATGTACCGGGCGCGGGGCGATAGCGCAAGGATGGAACGCAATATAGATGACGATTATTGTTGTGGGACAAAAGACACCCTTTTTACTCGCTCTTTTTTTAGAGTGTGGTTTACTTTTTAAAACGCGTTAATTAAAGGACATTTCTGAAAAGGTTTGCGAGAATTCACCTTTCTTTACCCGAACATTGCACCAGTCTACGGCTACAGCAAAGGGATTTTTGGAGCAAGAAAGACAGTGATTCATGACGGCGTACATTGATAGGAATACGAAGCGAAGAAAAGCAACGACACAACCAGCGCTGAGCGCGCCGATCCTTATTACCGCGAAAACGTGACGAGCGCGCGCGGGCATGACGTGCGTTCTGCGAACATCCAGCGCAGCGACACGCGATGCGTGCTCAACACGTGCAGCGCGAAGCAGGCAGCGCGCACGTCCGGACGAGTGACGCGTTTCCCGTTTTCCCACGCTGCAGTTCCGCCTTCTCCAGACGCGCTTTGGGCGACAAAACGACTCGGCCGAGAGCAAAAGTACAAAGTTCTAGCCTCTCTAGCTAAAGTGCGCGCCCCAGCTCGAGCTGCTCCCTCCGCACACATAGACGATAAAGACTCTCAAGTCGGGGGAGAAGAAGAGACAACGGCGCGGCGGAGGCCCCCACGCGGGGTGACATCGGTGTAACGATCCCTTCTAGAGGCAGTCGGGGAGCAGCTCTAGTGGCGGCCAGAAACAGAATACCCCCCACCAAAAGGGCGAGCGGTGCCCTCTCGAAACGCGAAAGACAAAAAGGAAGCCGGGGCCGAGAACATCGCTACCGAGCCACCAAAAAAAGAAGCCGCGCACGGCGGAAACGACTCGTTTCTCCTCCGCCACTGCCGTTGCTTCCCAAACTCAAAATGTTGAGGAGTTGAGCGCCCTATAGCTGCTGCCGCCGCACACACACGCTCGAACACAAGCGACCATCGTCACCGTCGAATCGCCGCGTGCTCACGCAACTTCGGACGTGATGGTGTTTCATTGCCGTTTCTTTTTGTTTCCTCTCAGCGGCTTAGAGCCGCTGCTTTTCCGTACAACTCTCCGCTGCTCCGGTGTTCGTCTCACGTCGACGAGCGATCATTATAATGCGCGAAAAAAAGCGGATCAAGCCCCCCCCCCCCCTCTCCCCTTCTTTCTCGGAGGAGGCGCAACACAATGCCAGCACAACACAACGCAAGTGCAAACGCAAACGAAAGCGCAAAAGAACAGGAGGTGTGCCTCGTTCCCGCTCTGCTTTTCTCTGCTGCCCTCTGTTGCTCCTTCTCCTCTCCATCATCTCCCGCCGAATAAAATGAAGCGAAAAACGAAAGCTTTTTCCGGTCGCGGAGGAGAAAATCGTGACGGGCTGCTGCAGCAGCGGTGGCTTGGAGGGGAGGATACTCTACGGGGAGCAGCAGGTTGTCCATGCAACTCTGCCGCCGTGCCGGCAACCCTGCCTGGGCACGCACTCACAAGGGCCGAACCGTCGATAAGGGGCTAAGAACTCGTCGGAGTGGCCGTATGCCTGTGTGGCAGCACAAGACCTGCTCGTTGTGGGCACGTCCACCGAATCACGTTGCCGAGGAAAGGCCCTTGCATAAGTTCCAAGATCTCTGTGAGGAGATGCAGTATATGCGCCATTCATTCATTAGCAATCTCAACTGAGTAGTGAATCCCATTAATATTTTTTTCTGCATAATTAACAACTAATACAATTTTATTGGCTTGACATTGACGCACATTCGACGGTGGCATAATCCTTCAACTGTAAACATCACTCATGGTACAGTATTGTAACTCCGTATATGAGCTAAATTCGATCAGTAACGTGCTGTTCATTTTTGCATTACAGCGAAAAAAAAAAAAACTTTAGCGGTGAAACGTACAGTCTAAAAACATATTTCAATTCACATAGTGCATTTTAACAGTCACCACATTTTCGAACTCGTGGTGTCTTAGAAATACGTTATTGCGATACTTCGTTGTAAACGCGCATGACCAATATAATGAAAGAATGGCTTTGGGAGTATACACCCTTAGTTGGCTCGGCAATGAACTAGTAGGGAGAAGAAATACCGCAATAATTGCTTCGTTCAAATTTCATTATTTTTGTTTTATTGTTGTCCACAGACAAAACGTCACAGCGAAAGTTACCCAGAAAGAAACGCGCCGGGCATGTCCGGAATTCCAACGCTGCGCACGATCATCCGTTTCAGCGGAAAGCGTTATCTCATGTGTGACCACAATAGAAGGATCGCCGGCCGCGACTAATCTAAATGCATGGTTGCGTAAATAACAAGTTCGACACCGGAAGACGCACCTGCGCGGAGCGCACAGTCGCTCCGAAACTGAAAGCGGACCTGCAGCGATTGCACACGAGTCAGTGGGCGCCACCTTACGGCGAGCGACGGTAGTAGGGAGAAGATGGCGTATATCAACATTGCGGAATGGACACCGGAGCACGTCGCGGACTGGTTAAGAGGTAATTGCTCGTTAATTATTTTCGAAACTAACTGTGTAACGTGTCTTAAGGCATACCGGATTGTTATACATGCGTAAACGTTCAATTGCACGCACCCTGCCGTGACATTTCGCCGCTTGCTCGACGACGTCGAAGGGAGTTGACCGACGCAGGCTAGGTGATGCGATGCTCCCCTGCGGAGGAATTCTCGATGATGCGGCCAATTTCTGTGCCCTATCGCTGCCTGAGGTCACTGCGTCCTGAAATGTTCAAATTTTACGAGTGCTTTGTGCGGGAGTTGCCGCGTGAAGCCACGCGCGTTTCTTCTAAGCTGATCGAGTGTGAGCGTGAAGTCGACCGTTTAAAGGGACGGTGGTACGCTGCAGCGACGGTGACGTTCTCGGGATTAACGCACTTTGTCAGTTGCGTCGCCGCATGAAACGTTATGAAAAGATTGCGCAATTGCCTTCGAAAACTTCGCTGTTATCGGATTCTCTGTATCGACAGCTGATTAAAAGAGTTCTGTTCGTTCTCCCGACCGTCCGCAATGGAGCGCTTCGCTCTGGTCGTTCCGGAACCGGTGCATTTAAAGCTTAGAATGAATAGTGCGCGTGCGGACCGGGGAGAGAGAGAACACAAGAAATCGATTTTTTGTTCGCACGTGGTGGTCGGTGTCGTCGCAGTGCACGCCTTTGCTTCTCTTTTTTGACCCGCCGCAGCGAAACCAATGAGCTTCGCAATTCATCACCGGATAAAGGAGGTTGATTGCGTGCGTTCGATTTCTTAAGTGAACTCGTTATGTAAACTTCAATCTCTCAGATTCTGTTTTGCTTCTCGCTCCAGGTGACTATTCGATCGTCGCGCTAAGATTAGAGCGCGTCTTCGGATTCCCGCGTGAAGTGCTGTACCGTTGGGTGTTTTTCTTCTCGGCTTTCGTATGCGGGTCGTCTGTGCCGTGCTTCTCTCTTTTTTTGTCTGACTCAGATGATTACTCGGTGGCGGTTGTTTCACGCCGCGATGACTCAAGGTCTACCACCCGAGTCATACTGTGCGCTCATTAAGAGCGCCGTTTCGGTGGCTGACTGAGTGCGCGCTGTCTCTTTCTTTTTTTTTTTTCCTTTTAAACATCATATGTTCCAGACACCGGCGGCGAAAGGCGGCTCCTTTCTATCCTTTATTTTCTTTCTTTTGTGGTTGGGTTCCTGCTTCGCATTGCTTGCTACATGCTAAGAGCATTTCCTGCGACGTTCGGGTGAAAGTAAAGACTGTGTGACCAGAGAAACCGTGCTGGTGCCCTTCATTGTCGTTCTTGTTTTGCTCGGACACGAGCTAAGTGGTCGTGAAGAAAAGGTGTCATTAAAGGATTCGAGACAATACTGTCCCCGACTGGATTAAGCCGTGGCCTAATTTTGTGCTCTGCAATTACTTGCGTGATTGTTCACCGTTTTCATGGACGCGAGGGCAATCAGCTGCCCAAGTTGTAAAAGCTAGTCCTGTTAGTCAGCCGATGGATCTCTGCCAATTTATGCTAGTGCATGTAATTAGTTCATGACTTCCTGCACACAGGCAGGCATCGCATGAAAACTGCATGTGGCACTTGCTGACAACTGGTTTTATGTTCTTTAAAATAGGTGGATCCTAATCTGTTTGTACCCCGCAATTGTGAAAGCTGGCAGGTATTTTCGAAGGCATCATACTAGTAGAGGTAAAGAACCAGTCTCTCTGACTAAGTACAAAGTTGTCGTATGTAGCAATGATTACTAATTGTGGGTTTTCCACTAATAACTCCGTGGTTTGCTTGACAGTCCAATAACGAAAGAAATTTGAGGTGTGTGACAGTGGAAGTCAAAGGAATATTGATGGTGTTAAGCTCTTTCCTAGTTTTTACTTGACTTTACCTATTATCAAGCTGTTGCTCTTAGCAATGTGGGGTGATCATATTTGAAATTTGTTGAACACTGTTGCAAATTCTATACCAAAGGGGGTGTGTCTAGCATGATAGTATATATATTCCTTAATTCATTGCTAATTCTCCAATGTTTGGAGAAATGAGTAATAATGAGTCAGCACAGTGCTGTCCAATATATGAGGTGTTTTTAAGTGCAAATAATTTCTTTGCGTACTGCAAGCACTTCTAGCATCTCTCTGCGTATGTATCTATCTAGCCGCCTATGTCTAGGTGCTCTCATGATCGCCGCCTTAACTTGGGGTACACTAAAGCTAGCATGGGAGGGTAAGATGGTTTGACGAATAGGACTCGCTGGTCATGACATTTTAATGTCACTATCTCGTTGGCTATGTCGTCAAACACTTTCCAAAAAACAGTGGCACATACCTGGGGGTAGGTATGTGCTACTGGTATGTGGGTATGTGCCACAGGTGACATTTTATGTCTACCCAGGAACAGCAAGAACGCACCAGGGTACTTTCAACACTTCAGCGTTAAGAATAAATGTCAGTAAGAAGTGTGAGTGCTCCAGCAGGAACCGAACCCTAGCATTCTGCGTGGTACTTGGGTATGCTACCACAGAGCTATGCCAGGTCTCTGGTATGCTTCTATTTATTTCTTTATTGCAAACACCTTAAGGATCCTTTACACAGGGTTTTACACGAGGGCAGACTTTTCAAGGAGACCGTAATGTTTGTAAAACGCCAATTATGGTCGCATTACTGGCTATCCAATTTTATAAATATTACATTTGTACTCTTATGATACAGCCTTCATGTCGAATTAACATCAGTTGTAGTTAGGAACCATTCACTGTACTTGATTTGTGTAGCAGTGTTTAGGGCTACCATCCTAGCATGCATCACTGCATATGCCAGCGCTTCATATCAGCTTACCCCTTTATGTTGCTCATTATCCGTGTTGCTGTTGGAATCATTACAAAACTGTAAACAATTGCCAATATAAAACATATGCAGCTTCTTAGCGTATGTGTGTGCATGGATTTGTACACATATTTAGTGCCGCTTCACAACATCTCAGTCAATAAAAAAATTAAAACACATTCACTTTACATCTGCATGCTTCACATAACATCGATTCCAAAGGCATGTGGGATCTGCTGAAATTTTTTTTTTTAAAGAGCCACGTGCACATCAACTGAAACTGAGAAAAACGCATTTTTTTCCACTGACATTATAGTCGGGCCTGCTCAAATAACTTTTTGCCAGTATGTTTTTCTCCCCTGAATACCACAAATCTATAGCCCAATATCGTCAATATTGAGGAGTAAAGTTTTTGTTTGGCTTTTTTAGATTGAAACATTTTGTTTGGGCTGGAATTAGCGCATAAAATAAGTATAAAGTGAATCTAATGTACGGTAAACCAATATTTTGCGATAGAATTAACACCATCCTTGTGCTTCTGTCGGTGCTGTGCTTCGTCGCATGGATGTATCGGCAATTAGTAGGCTCCGAAGAGCGAGTGGTCCTTCCTGGCAAAAGGCGCACTATTCTGGACTGCCATCAGTGTTTTCTTGTTCTGGGCATCTATCGACGGCCATGAAAAGCCTTCCTGCTCATTTTATGCCATGCCATTTTGGAGCACTTCTTTTTGTTTATGGAATAGATGGATTCCTAATATCTTCATTTTATTTGTATTTTCTTTTCAAATATACCGTGGTGGAGCCAATGGGGGCATTATACTTTAACGCTAAACTCGAAAAGAATCAATAAAAGGCTAATAGTAGGAAAGTCGGCCTCCTACTCTCCATAATCGAGTTTTGTTATTGAAACTCGTGTGCTTCAGTAAGTGCCACCGCACCCTACAAAAACCTAATCGTAGAACGTAAACACGATAACAAAGCAACTAGGTCACAAATGAAACATTTTGGGTGACATCATGTTGGTTGTTTTGATCACGATTGTTGGAACAGTGCTGGTTTAATGAATGTGGTTCAGTTTGATTGAAGCAGTTGTAGTGTTTGGCTCATTTTTGATTAGAAACTATCTTCTTGAGTTCTTGTTACAATAAGAAATTGCCCCATTTTGATCATAACTGTTCTAAAAGTTGAAGATGCTTAGGCGTGGTTTACGTTACATTGGAATTTTGCCTAGTTTCGATTTCTGCATTTGGCTCTTTCTGAAAAAAAAAAAGCCACCTGACATACAATTAACATGCAGTAATAGTAATTGTTATGGTTTAACATCCCAAACCCACAAAAGACATAGGAAATTTCAATGACCTGAGGCTCTCAAACGTGCGCATAAATCTAGCCACACGGGTCTCAAGCATTTTCGCCTCCATCAAAAAAGCGCCCAACACGGCCGGGGTTTGATCCCGCGACCTGCATGTTTACGAATAACATGAAATCACCAAGTGAAATCGCATTTGATAAATAATGAGTAGGCATAGTTGTCACTTGAGTGTTTCTCATTCTTAAGGAGAGTGTGCCGAATAAGGAGATGGATTCTTATTATATGCTTTTACAGACATTTGGTCTTTGGTTTACTGTCACTAGGTCGTGACATTGCATCCTTAGACAGACTATAATTTTGAGACATTCATAATGAAATATCTGGTGAAACAGATAAGTGTTGCTTCCAGTACTTCCATTGAGTACATTAAGAAGGCTAATTAGGAAAATGTTTAGAAGTTATGGGTGTTTTCCTGTTATGCTTGAGGGCAAATAAAAATTTTCTAGCTTTCCTGTTATTTGATAATGGGGTACAATTGACACTACTGTAGCTGTTACAGAGTGAAGGAAGGAAAGAAAATGGGAAGGGGGGTATAAAACTTTGCACTGGTAAGCTCAAAAACTTGCTCAACTGTCATGGTTTGATAGAAGTGCTAAGTCTGTGACAGTTATCTTCAAGGCAAGGTGCTTTTTACAGCTAAAGCTGTTATGAGATGACAACAACAGGTGATTTTGGTGGCGTTATTTGCACTGGTAAGCTCAGAAACTTGCTCAACTGTCATGGTTTGATAGAAGTGCTAAGTCTGTGACAGTTATCTTCAAGGCAAGGTGCTTTTTACAGCTAAAGCTGTTATGAGATGACAACAACAGGTGATTTTGGTGGCGTTATTGTTCGCTGGTGGTGGTGATCGTAAACACTATCACGCGCAGTGAGACGGAAAAAAAAAAAAGAAATCCAGGATCTAGCAGGATTTGAACCTAGGTGCTTTAGATTGAAGTTTAGTATTCCACAACAGAGCTATGCCTGTGCAAAAAGACCCTGCAGAGGTCTCATGCTGAGATAGAAATCACGTATGTAAAATGGCATGGTAAAAGAGTAAAATGACAACCAGGCATTACATTTTGCAAATTTCGTAACAAGTGGGTGGTTTAAAGCTGTGTACTCATTACAAAGGGCTCAGCCGTAATTCTTCATTGTCATGCGCCACAGTGTCAACAAAGTACACATAATGCCTTACAGTTATGTAGTAGCTACCTCGCTTCTCTGTGAAATGAATAATGGCGTAGTTGGTACATTCTTACTTTGCACAATAACGATGATTTATGGCATAGTGACTGCCTTGCGATTGTGCTTGTAGTGGCCGGTCCAAGAGACTTGAGAGCTGTCTCTGGAAAGACCTCTCTCTGTGACCGTGCTGCCCGTTCCGTACAGGCCAGGCCTTTTTTCACAACTCCCTTCTTGCTTTACATGTGCAGGCCTGGACGATATTATTATTCCATATGTGCACTTCTTCCTCAACAACAACATCGATGGCCACCACCTCCTCACCCTTGGTCCAGATGATCTCACTAGCCTCAACATTTCCAAGGTCGGCCACCAGGAACTCATCCTCGAGGCTGTTGACCACTTACGTCAACTGGTGAGTCCTTTGAGGTTGCTGAAGACTAAAAGACAGCTATGTCTGTGCAAATATGTTCCAACCAGCTACTGTTTACAAATGCGAAGTTCTGATTTAATTATTGGTTTAAAACGAGAAGCTGGCCGAGTTAATATGATAAAGGGGTACTGTAACCAACCATAAAAGGCGATATCACTCAACCGTACTAATATCCTGCATACAGAGAAGGCTTTGAGCAAGTGTGAAGCCCTGAAATATGTGGATGAGACGTTATACTGACATTCAATTGGATTTTTACCTGGTGCACCTACTGACATTGAACCATTATGACATCAGGCTACAGTGTCGAATCTGGTGACTTCACGCACCAGTATGGCTAGTTGCGATGAAGTCGGGTACCAAAAATTTCAGAATGGCTGCTTGTGTATGGCCAATGGAGCCATGGGGCAGCCAATAAAACGTCGCGATATCTTGTGTGATGAGAGGCTCATGCCAAATTGTGACATCAGGGTACAGTAGGAACTGAAGTAGCTTTTACAAACTTACAACAAACATACAATGATTTTTTTTTCAGGGTCTTTCAGGGGCTTACCAATACATTTTCTAGGCTCTTGGGGGCTTGGCCTCTCATTTGACACAATAAAACAACCACTGAAATTTTGCATGTCAGTCCCCCTCCAACATTTATAGCTACAGTGCAGTGCTCGTGCTGTCAGAGTTTCTGTCCCTTATTCGCCTCGTGCTGTTATCCTAAATGTTATTGGCGTTTGGATCTACAGGAATCGATAACCCAGCTGGATGATGCGAAGCGGGGAGATGAAACATTGTTTCCAATAGTGGTGCAGTAGTCCAGCTACTGGACTTTAGTTATGTGCAGCATGCCCCGTAATTTCATGTTATTTGCTGTTGAAGTGTAGAGACTTTTACATGGACCTCCTTATTGAAGTAGTGCTAATAAGGTATTGTAGAACTATGTGTTGCATACACAAAGAAAGAGTGGTGTTTAAGACAGCCAACTTTCGATGAGCCTCCTGACAATTACCATTACTTGAACTCCGAAAAAGCAATATTGTTGCAAGTAAACCTTGAGGAGTTGTTACTTTTATCAGTTGTGCATGAAAATATACAAGACCAACGGCAGTTATCCTTGCTGCTAATTTACTCATTGATATTGTCGGCCGAATTACTTAGTTGCACGTTTTCCCGCCGAAATGCGCAGCACTACAAGCTGATCACAGAGAATCTGCAGTCACTGGCACTGAAGCTTGGCTGCAGAGCGCGCAGTGTTTACAATGAAATCAAGCGCATGACAACCACGGACCAGGATAACGTCGTGAACATAGCCACCAGCATCCTGGCCGATGTGTCAGAGGTCCTGCTTGCCGTCAAGTCTTTCGTCTCGTGGCTGGACAGGTGATTACAGCGCTCGTCTTCCCTTTGTTGTTGTTGGTGCATCCTGTTCTTGCCTAATAGCAAAGCCTCTGTATAAAGCATGCACAGTCCAGATAATTATGCAAACAGCTACAGTCAGACCCTCGTATATCAAGCTCTTGTATAAAATATTATTGTATGTATCGAACATTCAAAACATTGCCTTGAAATATTTTTGATATATGAAGTCTTTTACGCAGTTGAACACCTTTATAAAAAACACTGATATAGTATAAGAGACACTGGAGTATAAGACAGTGGAGTATGAGAGGCACCAATGCGACTTCATTGAAGTATGAATTGATAAGAAAATGTAAACGTGGTACCCTGCTTATAAGAGACTCCTCATAAAGGAACAAGAATTTGTTCCCACTGCCTATCTCTTATAAAGAGGTTTAACTATATCGAATTGCTTATGTATAAAGCCTTTTTGTGATCTCCTTCAGATTCAATATATCTGAGTTCAACTGTAGTAAATGTAAGCCTCTGAAAGCCATATATAAAAGTGAAGCATCATTCTGTGACTAAATTTTGGGTGGATGTGTCTTTTGGTGCTAACTTGTGTCTTGTTGAATCTTGCTGAAAATTTCAAAGTGCAACCCAAAAGATTTTAGCTGAAAAATGTTTCTCCTTCGAACCTTGTGGAATTGACCGGAGGATATACAAAAGAAGTTGGACAGTTTGTTAATACCTATTCTGTAACTTATGATGAATTTCATGCACATTTATCAGTAAAATGAGCTATTGTAATACATGCATTTGCTCACAATATTTATTGCACTGGTAGTAATCTAATCACCTTTAGTAAACTGAAGATTGTTAGTTGATGCTTCAGCCACTTTTTAATAAATTAATTACAGTTTTTTGTTGTCAATTGCTTTGAGATATATAAATAACATTTATTAACTCTGAGCACTATACAAGCTAGATTGTAAAACTAGTTTAGACCTTTTTATGAGTTTTAGTAGCAACTTTCGTGCACTTTCTACTACAATTCTGGCTTCATGTGTGCGTGTGCTATGACGTCAATGCTGTGTTGAAAGTTCAGTGCTCAAGACTTGTCTGGCACATTTTAGTACTGTCTGAGCATCATGGTAGCTAATGGAAGGTTACCTTAACCGGTACCTGTAGGATAATTAGATGTTTCCTGTAATATTGTAAGGTTGTTTAATGAAAACCTAAAGATGCCCTTTAATCATGTCTTACATACTAACTAGGTCCTAATTTCCTTTGTGTATGTTCGTGCTGAGACACTTACAAAGCACTGTAGAGTGCAGTCCAGGGTTAAAGAAAACCTGAGCATGTATGGCAATTACAGGCTGTGAGCAGAAGCAGTTTCAGTTCAGTATAGAGCCATTTAGGGAGAAACTAGTGCCAAACGCTGCGAGTCTTTCACTGTGAACCTAGACGCTGGTAGTCATGCTTCAACAAGGTATTTGCTGAATTCACGTGCTCAAGTGTTCTCTTTAACAAGAGACCAAAGTGTACATTAGGCAATGGGCTGTTCTGTGATGCATGTTCTATACTCGGTTATAACCTAAGGAAAAGTGTCGGCTCCACCCAAAGCATCGCGGTCCCTCCCACAGAAAATTGCATATGTGTTCCGACCAATAGCGCCTCCTTATTTTGATGATGTGGAGCAAATTTCAAGTGTTTCAGAGAGTTGATTTTGCCCATACAGACACACATTTGTGTCGCTACCTTTAGCTAGGAAACTCGAGCATCCTGGTAGATTCCGTCAGTGATTATGACATTGCGGCTCAGCCAAACTTGACTTTTTCGGTAGCAACGACAAACCTTTAACTTTTATTATGCATAGTGTTCTCATTAGCTAAGAACACGTACATACAGCTCAAGTGGAAACCGTCTAGCACGACCTGTCTTTCACAGGTGAAGGGCAGACGTACCGCTGGTTCTGTGGGTGGAGGCCTACATTTTTCTTTACTTAGGTTGTAATGACCGTAGTGCTTGAGCTTTCATCAAGTGGGCTAGTCTGCACAGGCTCTGGCTTCTGGCTGCTTGCAGGGCACCCTTCGAAGGCCAGGAGCGTTACACCAACATTCGACAGACAGTGCTCAAGCTGGGCATCGAGCTGGCGTCCACGGCTCAGCGAGACCATTTCGCAGCCAAGCCCTATGCCGTTATACAGAGCAGTGTGAGTGCTGTCTTCATTGTGATGCTTAGCTTGTATTTAGTCTTTCATCATTTATTTATGTTCGTGGTGTTGAGTAGCCCTGCAGCCTGATGTAATTTTGTTTTCTCGTCTTTGGTTAATACAAGGAGAAAAAAAATGTTTTCTTGGCTGTAAGGGTAAATGAGCTTGTGGTAAAAGACAGCGGATAGAGTGAGTCTCACCTCTTCTCAGTAGTGAATTCTGCGGACTTTTGATCATTTATTTATCATGCTTGGCATATGTACTGGGAAAAAGAAATCTTGTTTCGAAATTGTGTTGTTGAGATCTTGGTGCCAGTTCCTTTTCTTTAATGTCTTAGTTCACTGGCATTCTGTGTGTATCGTATTGCTAAAGGATTTGTGGCTTTTTTATGCAAAATATTCTTGATAATGTAATCATTTACTTGTCTTTATTCTCTTGTTTGGTAACAGTTCGGGATATTACATAGGCATTTTTACGTACGCTGCACAGATCTTGGCCATGCTGTATTGGATTTATTATATATGGTTATGTCAATACCATAGTCATTATGCCTGATTCTCTCAATGTTACATCACTTAGTGTAGACAGCACCTATAAGCAATGTTATGACGTTTAATCTCAACTGATGTCCTACTGTGATTGGAGCAATTAAGATACGCAGTGGCATCGCAAGATGACTATCTGCTTCTCTCGGGGTATATTGAAACCATGCTCGTTGCCACGACATCTTGACCTCGCCTGATGTTGGCAGGAGTTTAGACTGCTTGTGCTCACCAGGGTATCTGCCTTGCGTCTTGCTGCAGTGTTACAACCTTGCTGACATCTGTGATATCATCATTCAAGAGTGCCACGATTCCCTCATCATCCAGCCCGCTTCTCTTGACGTAGCCACTGTCAAGAAGAAGACAGATGAAGAATGGGTATGTCTGCCATTTCTGGATATGTTAAGCTAACCTGCAGAGTTTTGTTCCTTGTTGCAATGTCATTTTTAATCTGTATACACTTCTCTTCATGGAGTTTATCCACTGGTCACAGAATATTACTGTATGCATTTGTTGTTGCACCTTCTCAGTGAATTGAGAATCTTTTTATTATAAATAATGAATATATAACAAAGGTAGGGATAGCTTCAAATGCAACTTAGTTATGATGATGTTTTGCTGCTTAGTGTTACCAAAAACTTCACCAGGATGACTACGTTTGATGTTTATGTGCCTCGAGACTGCACTCTGATCGTGAAGCATGTATAGTACAGAACTTGGGGTCAGCTTTAATTGCCTGGGCCCTTGAGCAGGAGTGCTTTTTACCTTCACCCAATATTTCACTGGGACCTTGTGGTTATCTGACTGACATGTTCATCCTGCTGCAGTAGCTATGATGATGTGCCCAAGATTTGTTTAAAATAATGTGCCCAATGCTTTTATACAAGATGATGCAATACGTATGAATCTATTCATTCAAACTGTTGTATTCCTGATTTGCTGCCAGGAGCTTTGGCTTTCATTCTGGTTTCACGGAACCACTGAGAAACAACTTGGCAGGTTTTTCACGCGCATTAGGGACGCCACAGACGATTTGGGTAATCATTGAGGTATGTCACGGGCACCTAATAGATGTACTCAGTTTGTGGCAAACTTTGGCGCAGTCGTTTCTGTAACACCAATACAAGTTTGTTTAGGGCACTGTGCTTATTACTTCAGAGCCTGCTTGTTTATGAATTCAATATTATACAGAGGTCAGCATGTGTACCAGTGTGAGCTGGCGCTCTTTATATCGCGTAAAGAATTGAGAAGGCGGCATGGACCACATTAATGTTCTCTCTCGCATTCACAGGGCATGCAGATTAATTCATCTTACTCGGGCATCCATGTTGTCGGTGGAGTCAAGTTTCAGAGCCCAAGCCATCGATGCGGCAAAGTTGATGTTGGCGACGAGATTGTCCAGATCAACTACCAGACGGTGGTAAGCAGGTTCCTCAGTTATACCCGTCACCCACTGGAGAAAGCATGTTGTGTCAGTAGTTCATGCTGCTCTCCCGTTTCAATCTCGTGTCTGGGTTTAATACAATGCTCCGTTTTCTTTTGTATTAGTAACTGTGTGCCAGGTGCTGTGTCTGCATTACATTTTATGTCTTGCATTCCAGGTGGGGTGGCAGCTGAAGCACCTCGTCTACATGCTTCAGGAGCACCCCACCGAAGTTTTGCTTACCCTGAAGAAAAGGCCACGACACACAAATATTTTGGGGCAGGTAAGCATTGCAAAGCATCATTTAACTTCTTTACTTAGTGTTGTTATATTCTTCATTAGTGTATTTAAATATGGGTTCTAGAAAAAGGGATGAGTTTTGAGTTGAATATTTTTATTCTGCAAACACCAAATTACTATAAATGTTCTGCATTACATGTTCACATGAAAGCCATTTTCAGATATCAGCTTCCATCTCGGGGTCTAATAGTACATGGTCCACAGCGCCCCCCCAAAAGTTCACATGTTCACATGTTTCATGCCTTCCCATTTGCAGGTAATAGTGTTGAGGCCATACAGAATACCACTGAAAAAGGTTACCTATGGAAAGGTGATGTGGCCTGAGAATGGTGTCCAGCCAGTAAGCATTGAAGAAGTCTTTCCTGTAAAGACGCAGCAAGAGCCTTCGAGCCCAAGGCAAGCAAACCTTTGCTTTCTCTGTTGAGACACACATGAAGTGCTTTTGACACTTTTCGAGACTTTTTTACAATATTCTCTTATCAGCTAACAGCTAAGACATCTCTCTTCAGTTCACTTATCCCAATTTAAGCTTTAGTGAGTGAGGTGCACAGACTTACAAGGTCTGTTTGTATTTTCAATTAATGTCAGTGTTTGCTATCACTACAAACTCATTTTCAACAATGAGTTTGAAGGGATAGCAATATTAGGCTTAAAAAAAAAAGACTTGACAATTTAGTTGCATGCCTGAACTGTAGTGCCCTTTAGAGGATTTTTGTATTAACCAAGTTCACATGTTGGCTTAGTTTTGGTAATAGGTTTGTGTGTTACTTTTCTCCAGCCGGTTCTACACTGAGTAATCGGGTGTGGTTGTACTAAGCTGAAATGCGCCTGTGCTCCTTCATACGCAGGGCTGTGCTTCGAGAGGTGGAAGACGACGACTCGGCGTTTTTGCCAGACGCAGCTGTTCAGAGTGCCACGTCGACGACAACTGCATCGGTCGCAGCACCGTCATCCATTCGAGCCCAAGTGTTTCCTCCGCGGTCGCGGGCTGCCATTCATCGGCGAGCCACAGTCAGTGGTGCGTCCCCTACGGTCACGAAAGCACCCGTCAGTCTACAGGACTTGGTTGCCGGTGGAATCCCTGGTCTGTTCGGTGGTAGCTCGAAGAAGAAGGACACAGTGTTTCGTTCAGTTTCTCACGATCCCGGCTGTCACGGTGCTGGTGGGAAGCTATCCGTGGCAGATGGATCTGGCGCAGAAGACGGGAAGGAGGCCGAAGCAACTGGGGTTGAACAACATCAGGAGAAAAAGCAAGAGCTGGCGTCAGATGCGGCCAAAGAAGCTCCCATGGTGTCCAAAGGCAGGACGGCGTCTGACTCTGCTGTTGTCCCACTCGTAGGGAGGTCCTTTGGAATGGCGGGCACACTTTCTTCGCGCCTCAGAGAAGCCAGAGGCTTGACAACTGGGGGTGAGTCTTCTGCTATGTGGCCTTTTTGGGCAATGTTCAGTTGACTGTGCTGGGTGCTGAGTTTGTTTGTGTGTTCTTGCTGGATATTAAACCTTCCGTGTTATACAGCAAGTGCAGAGGACTGAATTTCGGACATTTTTTTTCACGATTTAGGTCTGTTATTAGTTGACTAAAAGGGTCAAGAATTTAAAGACAACCTGAAAGTGTTGCTATTTCGAACGGGAATATCTTAATGCAGAGCACCTTGATGTCTTTTTCTTTCCATGTGCTGTGAAATGTCGAATAATGCTGCACCAACTGGCCCAGCGCTCAACCTTAGTGTGTAGAGAGCTGAATTGGTAGGCATGCAGGCTGAATTTGCACACTCGTACAAATCAGTTGGTTGCACTTTCTATACCACCTTATTTGCAGTGCCACTTGATCTCCCTGATCACTATTTAAATGGAATTTGCCACGAGTTTTATGTGGGAATCAAATGCTGCTTTAACTGTTAGATGAATGAATAGCAACAATCGTTGGAGATATTTCTTTCCAAGTGTGTCAGATTCTGTCGCATTTCCTTACTTCTCTTCTACATTGAAATTTCTGAGAAAATAACAATCGGCACCACTGTGGGTTCTTCATGAAATCAAGTCGAAAGATATTGCCATGGGAAGATGAAATCAAGGGAGAAGCTTACCGGTGCATGAGTGTGTTGGTCAGCCCTGTTTACTCTTTCTGCTATTTTACTCTGTAAATACATCCTGTATGTACAATATTGTAAGCTTCAAATGGTGCTTCCAGCTAGGGCACTAGCTTAAGGTTTTCTGGTATCTAAGTGAACGGTTTCAAGGTGACCGAGTCTATAGGCACCTAGTTAATAGTAGAGATCATAGACAGGATAAACTTGGTATACTATTAACTGCTTGTCTTTTTCTGGGCATCAAACATGCCTCACAAATAATGTGGACCTCTGATCATCACATACCTTTTTTTTGTCCTGCAGAGTCCACAAAGCAGTCCAGTGGGCCCCCTGCACCAGCCTGTGGAAGTCGGGCTGTGGCTGATGTGAGGTCAGAAGTTGGAAGCCAATCGCCACGGGAGAGGAAGGCTGTTTGGGCCGGGAACGGGCCGGCGGTCACCCATGGTCACACTCAAGGTTCCCAAAATAGAGGTCGGTGTACCCTTGAATTTAAATTAACGTTAAGGGTGAAAGGAACCAGATGTTGGTGATGAAGGAATGAGATCTCATATAAGGCAAACTATTTCTGTCCATGCAATTTAACCCTTTGTGGTCTAAATTCTTTACCCACCGGTTTGTTCTAGTCTGAAACTAAAGAAAGTAAAGCTCAAGTCAAAAAAAATTTACTTACTCTCATAAAGATGTACCATAATGCAGAGAGAAAACAGCATGCATGAATTAGCCGTGAGGGAGCTTGTCCCTCAGTGCATGACATTGTGCCACTGCGACCATGTTGTGTTGTTGGGAGGGGCCCGACAACGAACCGCAATGGGTTAAAACTGTAGTTGGCAGACGGATACCTGTTGCACAGCATGTTCCGAGACTAGGGCCAGACAGATCTTTTAAGTAGCGCTGTGCTGAAGAACTGTACAAAAATTCAGAATAGTATAATTTGTCTGTACTGTCGAGTCCCACTGGAACAGTGACAAAAAGAGAAATTTTCCTGAGTTATCCAATTATTCGGTTTATGAAGAACACAATAATTGTCAGAATAAGGTTAATGCTCACAAAAAGTTTGTACAAACAGCGTAAGCATATAGTAAAAACAATTTGGCAATATTGAAGTATAAGAATAGTCGGAATGCTACAGGACAGTACTTGTAAATTGAAAAACCAATATGTATGATTTGATGACTATTAACTACAGTTTAGTACATTCTCACTGCGAACGTGTAAACAAGTTGTGCAGGTGCCTCTGAGCTGTTTATTCAGCGCTCTTTACATGTTCTGGTGTTATTTCAAGCACACATTTAAGAGCAAGCGAGAGAATGAAAGCACACGGCAGCTTGCTTTTATGAAGGATTTATTAAGTCTCTAATATTAGGCCTGGCATGTAGCACGTAGACAGGATAACCGCTGGTCATTAAGGGTAACTAACTGGATTCCCAGAGAAGGCAAGCGGGTTAGGGGGAAACAGAAAGTTAGATGGGCAGATGAAATTAAGAAGTTTGTGGGTATAAAATGGCAGCAGCAAGCAAAAGACCAAGTTGACTGGCGGAACATGGGAGAGGCCTTTGTCCTGCAGTAGACATAGTCCGGCTGATGATGATGATGATGATGTTAGTTTAATGTGGAGGAGTTACTCGTGCTGCAACGGCTCAGTTCAGTCAGGATGCTCACTTATACTGATGCCACACAAGTGTCATCAGTATTCGTGTCTGCATTGTGACAGTGCCTGACATGTCATCTGTTATACTTGTAGGATCTGAAGCACAATCACCTGAACAGTAGGTCCAGCAAGGCGAAGGCTCAGGAGACGCTGACAAGTGCCCAGGCTAACCCTAGGTAGGCGTTTTGCTGCGATTAGCAACTTTCTGACATTTGCTGAGAGTCTTCCACGATGTCTGTTCTGGTTATCGAGTCAACTCTTGCTGCCTTATTGAGCCTGCTTTGCACCGTTTTTGACTGGATTCTCTCGGCTGTACATGGCCGCACATGGTCAGCCACTCGTTCCCTTCAGCGCTACCGGATCACGCTGTCCTCTGCACATTGCCGTAGTGGTCGGAAAAACAGGCGCAGATGCGGGTATTTGGAGAATGGTTTATATCAGTGCTGTTGCACTTGACAGGTGCATGCGTTTCGCGACAGCATTTACCTGGCTTCCGTCATCTTTTGGTGCACCCATCTTGCACATGTTCTTGGCTTTCATTACAACAGTCCGTGTTCACGAAGATGGTTCAATGGGTTGGATGATATTGCATCTTAGAAATGCTGCGGCAAGCACAGATGTGGACCATGTGAAAAAAAGAACAAGAGACAGCACTGATCAGTGTTGCGGCTTGTTCTCTTTCTTTCTTTTTATCGCTTTGTCCTTGTCTGTGTATTTCTAAGACTGTCTAGGTGTTCATGCCTTAGTTCATCCTACATCTGGTTGCACATCTGAATGCTTATACATCCAATTAGCAGCTGTTCCAGCTCTCTGCTGCTGTAACACAGTTCTCTGAACATTGTCTGCTTGCCTTGCTGCTTGGATTCAGCTTGGTAAATGGCACTTTTAGCATGCACTACATTAGCAGCTTGTTTGTATATAATACTTGTACTCTCTACGTTGCCTGCTTATTGGTTGACTCATTATGTTTGTTAATGCTCAATATATGTGTAAGTAGTGTGCATTAACCACACTGTGGATAGTATCTACCGCTCTGGCTACTGTGATGTGGGTGTGGTGTGTGGCATTTCATCAATTATGTAAAGACTGTATTTATTTGATTACTTGAGGGCTGCTTTTCAAATAGTTAAATTATTGTAATTAGGAAACTAACTTATTCTTATAAGTGGGGCTCTTCGCAGTACATTTATTTGATTGATAAACTACCCTTGAATTGCGCTCCTCGTTGCAGTAGCGGTGATGCGCCTGGTGCAAAGATTGGTTTTGGTGCCAAAGAATCTCCCAAGAAGCCTCTTGCCCAAGTGAGTAATATTCCGGGGTTCATTTCATCTTTTGTCCTTTATCTTTCCTTTATCTTTTCTGCATGTCGAGGTATCGCCGCACTTTTTCCAGGCGGGATTGCCTGCATGAATTCAGGGAGAAATAAGTGCCATTTAAAATGAACTCTGTTTGCTCTTTTTCACGCACAGAAATTTTCTTTCAGAACTGCATGTTGTAAAGTAGAAAGCAACCAAATAAAACAAATGATTGCTGAACAGATTATAATAATAGCAAAGTAGATTACATATGTTCCCAATAGATTAGTTGTGTTAATGGAGTAGATAAAAAATTTTCACGAGGTAGGTTTGATGTGTTAATGAAGTAGATTAAATGTTTTAAAAACTGGGGGCAGTTTGTGTCACCCACCATACCCAAGGTATATCACCCTTTGAGTTGAGGAGCTCAGATATAGTTTTTTTTTCGTGTATGCGTATATACGGTATTTACTCACATAATAGGTGCACCCACAGTTAGGTCGCGAGAAATCACATTTTTTATTTCAGCACATAATAGGCGAACCCGGACTTTGCCTTGATCAGTAGTTCTGTACCATATTTTCAAAGTTGCAATTCGACACCATTTTACGTTGACTGAAGCGAGGAAAAAGAAAAGAAAAAAAAGACTATAGCATCGTTGCGCCAGTTCCGTGGGCTCGCCGAGTGAGGAAGAAGGGAAGTTTCCTGGGTGTTGTGGTAACCTTTGCACCAACGCCGGCGTGTCTTTGGCTGTGTGCGCGCACTCCGCATGGAACGCGCGATCGCGTCCTCGTCAAGTGCGCATTGAGTTTCATGTTGGGAAAGTGTCGTCGTTATAGCGTTCGTTACCTCATCCGCAAATTTGAAAGATTTTCGGCTTTATGACGCGAGCTTTTGCCTTCGCTGCCACTGTGCGGACTTGCACGAGCTCAGCGGACTTTTGTTGCCATTGATTTGCTGGCCACGAGCCTAAACGTTTTATTATGTGCTTCTCTGGGATCAGTGCTTGAGTGCGTTTTTTTCGACGCCCAATCTTCATGTTGTCTTGTATGAACTTCCCTGCTACAACACGCCGAATCGTAGCCTTTGCCTAGGTAATCCCTGTTGGTGCTTGTGGCGGTCACAGGCTATCAAAGTTGCGGTTTTGTAGCGAATCCATGCAATTCTTTTCGGTGGCTATACTACACTTGAAGGAAAGGGGGCTTAGGCGGCACTTCTGACACTCAAATGGTAGTTCATGATTCAAATTCAATGGCTTGTATATGAGCTGAGAGCTCGTGAAATCGAAACAGTCTGTACCGTTCAGCGCCCAAAAGTTCGATCGTGACTATGTGCATAATCTAGGTGACCTGAAATGTAATCGGTGAATTTCCACGATTGTGTCTTGTTTTCGTAGTTTTTTTTTTTTCATTGGCAACGCGGGTGTATCGATGGTAGTTTTTGAAAATTTGAATGAGCACCGCACTGCATGCCTCGATTCTCGGACAAGCGATACTGCATGCTCAAGACGTTTTGCACTAGTGCAGCCTATGAAGTACGTTTTTTCAGCTATAGTGCGGATATTCGTGAGTTCGGCTACGTGTACATTATCTCTGTTCTGTACTGGTCGCAAATAAATATTTCGGAAATGTTACCCCGCGTAATAGGTGCACCCCGAATTTAGAGCCCGATTTATTGAAAAAGTAGTGCTCCTATTATGCGAGTAAATACGGTATATAAACTAGGTATTTATAAACATAAATGATTTGAAAGCCTTTTTGCAGCTTGTTACTAAAAAAAAAACAGAGTGGCCTTTGATACTTTGGTAGGAGCTCTCAGCATTACTACGAATGATCACTTGTCACTCCATGTCTTTTTTACTTATAAGGGCATGTTATCATTTTTGAATGCATAGGACTGTCATTGATTGGTCAGTGAGGAATGGTGAAGCAAATACATAGGGCTCAAACTGAAGAAATAGTGTTGAACTTTATTTTTATCCTCTATAAGGAGGAGTATAGATAGAAAGATAATTTCTATGGAAACGGCTGTCTTGCCTGAACGTTGCTTTGAACAAGCATGAAGTATGGTAAATAATGTAAAATAAATCTTGAATGTGCTTACGGGAGCAAATGTTTGCCATCCTATGCATAAACTGATTAATCCAAGTTGTGCATTTCTAGTACTTTCTTTCAATCGCACTTTGTGTATCCTTTGAAATTCATACTATTAGGAGATCGAATGTACTGATGTTAGCAAGAGATAGCTAAATGAAATGCGAATTGACATCGTCAATACTTGCCTTTCATTCGTTAGCTGCATTTCCCAGCCCACATTATCAAGATAAGTCAGTTGGTGTTGTGAATGGAGAACCATAGCACCAGAATGGCATTTTTATTCGATCGCTGGGTGAGAGAATGCATGCGTCAAGAAAATTTCGGAGTATCTTGCGAAGCAAATTTTTTTTTTTCTGATGTCACCAAAATCGTTTCACTGTGTAATAAAGATGACTTTGTGTGCCAACATAAGTTTAAACTTGCGGCTCTTTTGTTGGAGCATCTCTTGCATTATATTTTCCATTCTGATGACTAGCTTCATTGCATTCATTTGGCGTTCCATTGGGCCAATAAGTGCGCTTCCCTCCCTTCATGAAAATTCATAATCGACAACACTAACACAAGACAAGAGTTCAGCTGAGTGATTTGTTTGGTGCAATATTCCTTGCTTCGACGCAGTGCCGGTGGCCTGTGGCTAGCATGCGTAAGTGGCTGTAGCATGCCTCTCCTTGAGTGGCCTTTGTAGGCGACACTTACATACTTCTTGATTGCGCATTGGACGATAATATTTACTTATAAGTGCCCTGGTGTGGGCACTCTGTGGCGTTTTGAGTTTGTTTCGTTGTTTGGTTTCGCTTGGCTTAGTTTGATTATGGGTGACATGCATGTGTAGAGACTGGATTTTCATTCAAAAAGTGTAGCACTGTACAGCAGATGCTTACTTTCGCTGTATTTAATGCAGATCTTATCAACCTTCCACCTGTGTCTCAGAACTCTGTCATTTGTGCCAGTTGTGTCTTTGCATTAGGCATGTTTCAGCAAAGATGTTAAGTATGTTAAGATGTGCAAAGATACTAGAGATCTGCAGATATCCGTGGCCTCTCCATCATACTTTATGCAGCTTTTGAATGACGAATAATTGATCTCAATCTGAGTTTAAAGAAAACAGCACCTCACACTATATCTAGGTTGAGACAAGGATGTGATGTATGATAAAAAAACTGGTTTTATGTCGCACAGTTGATCTTTCATTAGAAATAATTTTTCATTTTCGTCATTGAGCTGCACCCTCTTCAAAATTATGCTTAAACTTTATCTAATATGTTTTGCTCACCCATTGTTGGCTGAGCATTCCCATCGAACAGCAGTAATGTAGTTGTGCGCAAAACTCATGCGCAAGAGCGTTTCGTCATATCTAGTAGTAGCATACGTCGGAACCATGCTATCATTCTATTTGCATAGAAAAATAGTGGTCACATAGATTTGTAAATAATTTGAGAAGGAGACTCCTGAAAAAGTTGAGCTAATGTTTGTGCTCCATAGCTTTGCACGAGTTGTGTAGGACGAATTGGTGGTGCTCAGAATCCTGTCTCTATTCATGTTTTATTTATTTGTTGGCTCAGTACTGAGCTATTGGGTACACTGTGCCTTGCAAGCATGGTTTTGTTTGTGCATATTGCTTGCTGCCATTTCTTCAGCTTTTTACGTACAACTGCCTCTGCTATTGAGTGTTTTTTGTACTATGTAAGTCAGTAACAGTTTCCAATCTGGTACTTTAATTTATGTGAACTCTAGGGGAGGGTAAAAGTTGGAACGAATAAACATGCACAGAATATCCTCCTGATTCTTATATTTGAACTGCCCCTTGCATTATATGCCAGTCATAACAGCAATTTGTAAGGCAGATAGCCTTGCATGGCTTCATAAACTCGTTAGCAATTCATGGGTATTTTGATAACTGAAGTTTATCCCTGATACTTCTTCTTGTTGTGCGTGTAGGCTTTTTGTGTTCTGTGAACGCATTTATACAGCTCCTAGTGGAGTTAAGCAAACGTGAAAGAAAAGATAAATAAACTAGCAGTGTAAAGAGCTTGTTAGTGTTTAAAGATAAAGAAATGATACCAGAGTTTCTTGATAGTTTTTTTTTTGTCTTGCATCTTTTATGGCTATCTTGTATTTAAATGATCAGAACCCATGCAGATTTTCACCCTGATAACCGGCCAACAAAGCGAAAAACCTCAATGTAGCAGTATTTGTCTGAAGTTGATTTGTCAGATAGCCGAAGGCTGTGGCTCAGATAAGCTACATTGTTTTATCTCTCATAGCACGAACCGAGGCGGAACGAAAGAAGGTTGATCCATTTCGGTTTGTGATTACTTTGTACAGTTCTTGGACGTGGGGATTTGCACACAGATGGAAAGAAATGTAATGTAAGCATTGTTGCAGTTGTGGCATACGAACTTTACTAGTTTTGTGCATTGAGTTCACGCTGACTGCAGTAAATGCAATTCGCACTTGTAGAGAACTTTATATAACTGTACGCAGGCACACACAAATGCATCTACGCACGTATATGTGCAGCTTTTGTAAAGAAATGAAGCCACAGCTTCAGTGTTTGCAGCTGATTCATGTATGTTTAGTGAATGCACTGTTACATCGCTGCTACTCGGAACTTCGATGTTGGAGGTGAATTTTACGTACACACTTCAGATCTATGTGCCAAAAGTTCTCTTAAGATGCGAGTGCTCCCACGATTCAGCAAGATTCATGCTCCAAATGGCCTTGGCTTCACTTTGACAAAACCCATGAAATGAATTTTAGGAGTGAGAACAGAGCGTGTTGTTAGTGTGTTTTCTTGCTTTTTTGTTTCAGCTTTGTAGATATTGCATTGGCATGAAACATAGGCACAGTAGGCATGTTTGTTTGACATCCATGAAGCCTCTGTTACCCTGTATCATGAAAGGGGAGGATGGTTTGTGACAATAATGTCCTTGGCTTATATGAAATCAAATTGGTTTATTTGGCATTTATAGCAGTATCAGCATACAAATGTACATGAAGAAAAGTCAGTTTCACGGCAAGGGTGAACCAATCTACACTATGGCGACAAATTGTAATTTTATAGGAAGTGAGGCTGGTAGCTAACTCTTTTGGATGTAATCTCGCGTTACTCTACAAAAGGTCGCAGTTGCTGCTCGAGGTACCCTTCTTCCCTCCTTGCGTTTTTTCACGCTCGTTAAAGACGGGGGCGGTGTTTCCTCTCTGATTGAGCATTGGTTGGCTGGTCTGGCAGGCGGGGCGGGGATCTTAACGCATGTACCTCAGAATGACGAAGATGGGCTGGCTTGTTTGATCCCTGCTTCAGCCATGTTGGCGCGCTAGTACCAACAGGTAGAAGGTAGGATGCATTGGGGGTATCTTATCAATTTGGATTTTGTACACGACACGACGCTGACGTTGCCAGCAAAAAAACGTTGAGACTGTCCATATAATTGCCATCGCAATAAGACAAGAAGTTATGTAAGACAGCTTGCAGTTATTCTAGCGACTCACATCATTATGTTTGTTCACATGTGTCCATTGTGTTCAGCTTTCTTGTGGTCAAGTTGCCAGTTTCGTTGCGTGTGTACGTGTGCTTGTGTGTGTTAGAAAGGCTAGGTACATGCCATCTTCAACAGAAAAACCTATGACAGGGACTCTCAAAAGTGCACAGGCACTGATAGCAATCCCAGGGTGCTCCTCTTGGACAAACGAATGTTCTATGTTAAATGGATGGATGAATGATGGCACATTATGTGTCCTGTGTTGTTTTGCTCATCTCTTCCAAATGGTACTACTAAAGATAGGTTGTTACCAACTGAACCCCAGTGGTCGATCCTCATAGGTGCATGAAGCAGCTGGCTTTGTGTGAGGCCTTTTGCCTTTGTTCTTTTGCAGTGTGTGTTCTCAAGTGTGTTAGCACTTTTCGCACGTCTCGTCTCACTTGTGTTCAGTGTTTTGTTGTGTTTGTTTTGTTTTGCATGCCGTTTTCTTTGAATGCTTCTTTGCTCTCCTTTCTTGGCTGTTTGGGCCGCCGTGTTTGTGTTTTGTTTCACATAGACTTTTTCTTCCTTTTGGCATTTTTTTACACTTGCCATTACAGCCTCCAGCCATGAACACAAAGACACAATGTTCAGAGAGCACACTAGGTGAGTGTGTCGATGGTTGGTACGCGCCGACTTTTTCAACCTTTTTGTCTTCCCCTTTTTTAATAATTTTGGCCGCTGCTACGGCATGAGTCCAATTTTTGCCAGAGTATTTTTGAACAACAAATTATTTTACAAAGCAGTTTTGCCTAAGGGCATGTTTACAGGCACATGACAGGAATAGCGTAATGTTTCTGTCAATAAAGTGTAGTGTCGTCTTTCTTCCTTCTGGGACTACCCTTCGTTTAATTGTTATTTGTTTCCCTGTGTTCGCTTATGTGATGGTAGTGTGTATGTATGTGCGTCGTGTTTCTTTAAGTTAGCTCTATGATGACGTGCAGGCTGTTGGTCCTTGATGAGGCAAAAGACAGTGTATGTTTCATAAACGCGTGAATGTTGTGGTGGTGTGTGTGTGTGTGTGAACATGCACAAGTACATGTGAGAGTTGGTCAGGGTGTGTCATTCGATGTTGCGTTTTGGACTTGGATGATTAACAAGAGCAGTGGGTCTTCATTTTTCTAGCAAACACGCAATGGGCATTTCGCAAAAGCATAGCTCTGAATTAGAAGTTGTCTTTGGTTGTGTAAAAAAAGGAATGTATACAAAAGTTAAGACGACAAATGAATTAGCTGAAACTTTGTTGCATTTAGTTGCAAACAATGCCTGCAAAAAAATTAAAAGCCTGCAGAAAAGTACAACGTAGAAGAAAAGAATGAATGTGCGTGTTTACTACTTGTTCGTGCATTCCGTCGTTTCTTCTCATATGGCTTAGATAATTCTCTTCATGGTGTTACAATATTGGAAGTAAACCACTTATGCCAGTTATGCACCAAAGTTGTGTATATAATATACCAATAAATGAAATCATGCAGTCTATGCTATGATTGAAGATTCATGAAAATAACTGATTATGTAAAAGAGGCGCATTAAAGGCACATAAAAGGGCACATTTACCAGTTGTATGCACTTCACCGACAGAAACGACTTGCTCAGTACTTTTCTTCTAGTCTCCACAATGATTAGGATCAGCCGTATCGTCTCAGTTCTTGTACACATACTTATGTAACCTCTGGACATTTACTTCAGAACAGGTGGTTTTGAATTTAACGTTGGCATAATACCTACTAGCAGGGCAGAGAGTACTGCCATTTAAATTGTCGCAGTCACGTGCATCATCATGACAGGCTCGCACATTTTTTTTTACCAAGTAGCTAATCTCACAGTCTGATCGCTAATGAGCTCATTGTCTGCCTTGCTCTCACAGTCACATCTTAAGCAGTGCTCATTTCAATGCTAATTTTAACTAGCTCAGTTTAGCCCACTTTTGTGTTTAGTGGGAAGATCTCAGAGCAGTGGATGTCGCTGAGATGTTTATATTTCAATGTCTTGTTAAATTGTAATGGTGTATTTTTTGTAAGTTCAACATCTAAGGAGTAGGCTTGTGCGAAGATTTGGGCCCTTCAAATATTTCAATGAATATTGCAGTACTTGAATTCACTTCAATTTAAATTCATATTGATGAAAATTTTTAAGTATTTGAAATGAACAAATAAATGTATAAATACTAGTTCCTATGTAACCCCCTGTAAAGGTGGTTTCACCGCAGTGGAGGGCTGCTATACCATGATTACACATACCAAGGCAAAATCCACACTGCCGTGCAGCCCCACTTCAAGGTTGTTACCTTCACATCAGTTTATAATTTCCTTAGTACTTTGTTATATATTTTGCTGGTTAGTAGAGTCATTACAGGTGTGTTCATTTTTTTATAGTATGTGATATTCAACATCGATTCAAAATTATTCGTCAAAATTGCTATTCTCTTTGAATTTGATTCGAACCTAAAATTTACTATTTGCACAAGCCTACTGAAGAGTCATGAAGTCACTGCCATACATTCCATTTTCAGCTAATTTAACACGTAGTGTTTAGTCGTATCAGAGCCTTGCAAAATAAGCAGAAGTGCGTTTTTGTTATCTTTATTCTGAGTTGTACTTATTTTCAGTGAACTTTGTTAGCCATGAGGGGCCAGGTCTGCACTTAATTCTGCAATCAAAACTTGAGTTACTTACAATGAGTACATGCTAAACTTGGTGCTTCTCTGTCTGGCATGACTTTATGAAATTTATCATCAGCAACATAATTGCGATGGGAAAAGTGGCATTGTGTTTATTTCTTCTATTCGTTCCTGTTTGTTTATTCTTTTTGTAGAATAACATGAGCAGGCATTTTATCATAGTACGCACATGCGGCCTTAGGGTAGGGAAACTGGCTGTGTCCCTGTGTCCATATGATATGATTTCATTCAAGTCAGTAGCCAACGACATACATTGCCTACACTGGTGCTTAATGTAGTATGATGCCTCATTGTCTCTACTTTGCTTCGAGGCTAGGAGGTTAGCAAGCATGGTGCAAGGGCTTTTGAAGCCGCATTTGTTCATTTCTTGAAAGACATTTACATGTGGTAAATAAAAAAAAAACGAGAGAAAAAAAACGTTTCGTTAGAGAAGACTCTCTTCTCTAATATGCATAGTAAGAGCTTCAGTATGCCCTTAATATGCATAGTAAGGGCTTCAATGCTTTATTATTCTTGTATCTTTCCATCATTTCTGTATGTTCTTGCTCAATGCAATTTAAGTTATCGCACATGCTATCAGCAGAGCACATCTCAAGGTAAGGTCTGCAGGTCGTCGTTACACACAAAAAAAAATTGGCACACAAACACGAAAGAGCACGATAAGGAGCAGGGCAACATTTTGACAGTACCCTATGCTGCGTTTTTGTTAAACAACTTTGAATTTGAGCAGGCTTCAAGTCATTGAAGCATAATCTTCTTAGTTTCCTGTTCCTCATGTTTCTGTGTGGTTTTTGTCATTCAGCTATAAGAATTCGCCCTCTTTAACCACTTCCATGCCATAGACAAGCTGTGCTCTGCACGCGCATTTCTAGTGAGAATGGCCTAGGAATAGCTCAGCTCATCGGCGGTGCTTACCCGTTGCTTGCACTGTCTTAGATGTTTTTGTTTTCTCAATTAATTTCTGCTCTGAATTGCTTTTGGGTGTTTTCCTTCTTCTTTTTAACTTCGGTGATTGGCTTGAAATCCATTGTATCTTTAGGTGGAAAGGGTTTCCTTCATTTTTTTAACTTTATTTCTCACTTGGCGTTCAAATCAGCCATGGATGACCTGGCTTTGCCTCAGTATTTCGCTGTGCTCTAGTTGGTGGCAGCGCACATCGCAATGGGCAGTGAAAGCACGAAGCAGTTTTTTTGTGTGGAATAAATAAACACTTTGGCAAGAGCCTCAAAGGACAAAAATTCTGCCATTTTCGGTCAGAGTGGCACAGAAAGGGTAACATGCTGCTGGAATTGTTTGTGCTGTGCTATCAGAACCAAAAACGAGTTGTGTTGCCTCTAGTTTTAAGCGTGCTCTGAGCATCCCCCCACTCCTGAGACTTGTGTTTATAGCGAGACTGTGCATTATTGAAGCGAGGCCTTGCGTCTAACTGCAACTGTCGTTGCTACTGCTGTGGCTGCTGCCGTTATCTGCAGGGAATCGTGGGGTGCCGTGCCCGGAGCTGGGGGTGGCCGAGTGCGAAGGGTGGCTCCTCCGGCGCCGGTGGGGGGGGCAGCAGCACCAGCAAAGCAGCGCCCCTCCTAGCAGCGGGGAGGACGGCGGCACCAGCGATGGCAGCCCTTCCTCCCTGGCGCCGCCGCTGGGTCCTCCTCCGGGGTCCCCAGCTCTTCCTCTACGCCACTCCCCAGGTACGCATTTCATTTCTCTACGTTTTTTTTTTTTTCATTTTTCGTCAATTGATTTATTTACAACAAAATGTTGTGGGAGACCAGGGGGAAAAAAACCTAAGAAATCAGCTTTAGGATGTCCCGGCCGCCCTACACGTATTGTAGTGTAAATGGTGGTAACGAACAGAGAACAGAAAAATGAAATGCACACATAATATATTGCACATGACTTTCCTCCTCACAAGAAAGAAACATGCTTGCATAGACATTATAAAAGAATATTAAAAAAGATTACTTCCTTTGAAAAACAATTGAAACGACGGTATTCTTTCAGAGGCAAGTTTATGGTAAGGATATTGTAGTGAAAAGTCTCTGTAATGCTGAGAAAAGGTTTCCGGAATGCTAAAAAGCTGCTCTTTACTAATTATATTCAGTAAAGCTGGTTAATGCGGTCACTACTCTGGACTGATACCTCATTCACCTACTGAACTTGACATCATTCACCTACTGAACTTGACATCATTCACCTACTGAACTTTGTAAAAAAGCTGGACTGGATAGTCTTGAACTTAGGACGAGGATTGAGCGTCTGAAATTCCTCTTCCAGTTAATTCATAATCATTTTAAACTAAACTATTCAGATTGCTTCCAGGTCAACACACAAGAACACTCCAGACATCGCCATAATATGTACATACCACCCCTAGTCCCACTTAACGATTGCTTTAAGTTTAGTTACTTTCCACGTGCTATTGAAGATTGGAATATGCTGCCAGAGTCTATAATTGGTTGTTCCTCGCTTACATCATTTGAACAGAATCTAAAACGTTTATTTTCTGAATAACAGTGGTGTGCGTGTGTACTTTTTGTTGGTTGCATGAGACTGTAGTAGTTGTCTTTCAAATCTTCAGCGCGGTGCAAAAGTGCCGCCTCAAATGCGTCATGTGCTGTTCTGCGCGTATGTATTGCATTGCATGTGTGTTCCATCTCTTGTTATGTATAACTTCGAGTTGCTGCTCACAATAATACCGAGAAATTATCTCGAGACCTGTGCGGTACTTCTTTTTCGCAAATAATTGTTTGTACTTCCACCCTGTAACGGCCCATTTCTGGGCTAACAGTATAAATAAATTAAATGAAATGAAATGAATTAAATAATTACAGAGGTTTGATGGTGTGTGTGCTGTGTGTTGCCATCTTAGTAAAATGGATATTCAAACATCACTGTATCACACTTCAAAAAAAAAAAGAAAAATTCCATTATCACTTGTATTCTTTTATTGCCGTGTCACCATCTTTTACCACTTTCACAGGTTGTGCTGTTTGGTGCTTAATGACCGAGCAGATATTGTTCTTGTGTCATACAGTTCACAATGCATGAGCACTCCAAAGCAAGTAGTACAACCATTATCATACAAACATGCATCACATGCATACCCAGCAGTATTTAATGTTGGTGGCTAGTTGGTTCATCTTCAATGTCAACAAAAAGCTGAATCCAAAAAAGAAAATGGCCCAGTATCTGCATGTAATCTGCAAATGTCATGGAAAGACGATAGTCTTGCGTGTGGAGAGTGAACAAAGCATTTCTTTGATGTTCTGCGCAAAAAAATCGGTGAATGGTATTCCGGAGGCGCTGCATTAGAGTGCCTCGAGCGTGCAGCGGAGGCGAACGAGCGCATAAAGTCACGTCACACTGTGAGACATGAGCGCCATCTGGCAATTTTTTTTTTTGAAAACAAAGCGTGTGGCCCTGAGACGGGCGTGTGTGCCCGTCTCAGTGGTGATAAGGTGTAGAATGCAAGGCGACTGGGTAGGGGTCACCACCGTGTCTTCTTAGCAAAGCGTTGGAAATACTCGCCTTTCCGTGCAAGTGTTGCATGGTCAGCGCAGCGTGATAAGCGCTACGGTCCTTAGAATTACCTATGTATGCCTTTTCTAGTAAAAGACGAGCATGCAGAATATATACGTGTTGTTATGGTGCCTCAGATATGTGCGATAATCGCTTTTTAATTGACAATCACACACGTATAAATGCTGTTTCTTGAGCAACATTGGTGGGCGCTGCGGATGGGGTCGGCCGTTTGGAGTATTGGCTGGTGCTGTTTAAAGCACCCGGTTCGTAGTAACGGTGGACAAACAGACAAATGTACAGACCGACAGACAGACAGACAGACCAAAGTTTTTGCGTCGAAGGTCCCCAAGAAAGACTATCATTTTTAAAAAAGTAAACCAACTAGTACACAATGAACGTTCGCTTGACGATGAGCCATTGTGATGGCATTCCAGTGGGGACAAACATGCAAACATATAATGTCTTATACATAACTGTGTTCTCCATAGCTCAGCTTTACTTGCTAACGACAATGCCATCAAGAAACATGCGTGGCAAGAAAACATGGCTGAACGTTTGTTGAAGCAACCTGTGTACTTACCTCCTGCTTTCTTGGCAGTGTGCCGATCGCTTTAATGTTTCCGATTTGTTTTCAGGACCAGAAAGCAGAATGCCTGCTGTATGTGCCTGGTTTTGTGGTGTCCCTTGCGCCCGACTGTAAATCTAAAAACTGGTAAGAACCTGGCTAACAATAATAATATTAATAGTTTCATTATAATGACATATCGGGCATCCTGTGCTGTGGCTGTTTGCTGCTTTTTTGTTTATTGCAGGAGTTGGGAAGGGCTAACCTAAGGTCTTAGTCGTTAACGTTTGTTGGAGCCATGTATGGGGTCACAGGCCCGAATGGAGTCTCTCGCGTGAAAATTTTGGGAAATTCCTGCTGTCGTCCTGTAAAGTCTGATTTATGCACCCACTGAGCATTCTGTTTGCATTGCAATTGCGGCAACAGCAGTCTCCATCGTCAGGACAGGGCTTCCTCATCCTTTTCTCAAAAACGAAGTGCCAGTTACAGTCCTATGTTGCTAAAACTGCTGGCACCTTTTTTTGAAGAGAAAGTGAGTGCTCCATCATGCTGTCTCATGATGGATGACAAGTTACTGCAAGGTTCTAAGGTGAAATGTGATTAAGTTCGTTACATCAGGACAACTCATCTTGGGAAGCTTTGCCAGGTAGACCTAGATTGAAGCCCTCTATCAGGGGTTCGTAACATGCCAATTATTTGCTTCGTGTATTCTTCCTGTTTCTGAAAAGCAATATCTTTTTTTTCCTTTTTCCTGTAGTGCCTTCAAGCTCTCCAACTCCAAAAACACTTTTTATTTTGCAACAGAGTCCACGGCAGATACATCAAGGTAAGTTGGGCTATTCTTACAGCTACACTTTATCTGCTCCATGAAATGCCTGGGTTCATCTGTTCTTGATATTGCTGGCTGGTGAAAGATTTCCTTGTAAATAGCTTTAAACAATTTTTGAGGGATTTTTTTTTCATTGAACTGGCAGTTTTAAAACCCAATGTGCTGGGTATGTTCTCTGGTAGGAATCTTTTTTTGAAATCTGTAGCTACGGTTTTAGCGCAGCCCTTGCTGTTATCGTTTTTAGCCTAAACCACATTTCAGCAAGGTAATGTTGCTTCATTTACTGGCAGTTGTGATTTACTGTGGCATGAAAAATCCCATAAAAAAGGAATTGTAGGTGAAATTCAGCTGTATTTGTTCGAAACATCAAAAAACTAGAACAAATTTAAATGCTGCCTGTGCTGTGAGTCATGCTGGCGTCGAGGGCCTTACCCAGATATGTGTACGTAGTGCGCAATAACAGGGATCGGCATCAGCTGCTCTTTATTCTCGTTCCTGGAAGCTTGAAATGTAATTAACGTTGCTGAAGTGATGCAAGTATCGTTTTATTCTTTTTGAGAACTGCTAGCAGCGCTCTCTTTTCTCAGCTTGTGCACTTTGGACATGGTTGCCAAATAAGTGTATGCTTAACTCAGGTTGCCTGGAGAGAATATGTATAAGAATGCGAGGGGGAAAAAAAGAAAGAAAAAGTAATGAAGCTTGTAAGATTGCACTATTTAACACTTCTGGTTACCCGCTCTTGTCTTTCAGATGGTTAACCAAGCTTCAGCAGGTGGCCAAACTTTTCCCCGATTCCGCAGGTAAATAGACAGTACTTCTTTGCTTCTGCTTGCTTTGAAATATTCAATAAAAGTAGACTGCAACAACATTTTGCCTTGACTTTAATTGATGACTAGTGTTTAGTCCTCTCGGAGCAATCTTGGCAAAAGCTGTGGGGGAGGATGTTTTTGTCATTTTTATCAGACATGTATCATAAAGACAAATACTGCCCAGAAAAGTGATTCAGCAACTTACATGAAATGTAAGGCATATTGTTTAGGATTTTTAGGAGGGCGGATATTGAGCCAATGGATACAGAGTCAGCATGACACGGTATATTTTGTAAGAGTGGCGAGGTCTGGTGATTTACGATATTGGCTATGGTATAGGAGTGGAGGTGTCATGCTTCGAAGCTGGCTCTATTCTCGGTTGTGGTGGTCGCATTTCAGGGGGGGTGGAACGCAAAAACACCCATGTGCTTATACATGTAGGTGCATGTCAAAGCATCCCAGTTTGTCAAAATAATGGGATCTTCAGACTACGGCATGTCTCATAATAGTATCCTGGTTTCAGAAAGTGAGACCTCCGAATTAGATAATTATTCACAGCAGTGACAACAGGACACAAGGACACAAGTGATCAGGGAGAACTGTTGTCTTGCATTTTATTTAGTGATATGATACATGATGATTTACCTTCTCTTTCTTTTCCACTTTCAATGTCAGGTCCATGCATCTGGGCAAGTGATAGTGATGAAGATGCAGTGCTGGACAGCGCATTGTTCAAGTCAGCATCGTCGTCATCATCGTTTTCCAGTCACAAAATCAGCATAGTGCCGTCACCTTTGGACAGGCCGAGACAGCCATCTCCAAAGCCAATGCCTAGAACTATATTTCTCCGCTCGACTGTGGCTCCTCCACAGTTGACAGACAGATCAGCCACTCTTTCGCCTCGGCGGACCTCCGGGGAGCCACCTACGACGAGTGCTTCAGTTTCCTCACTGCCCAGAAATCGTGAGTCATCCAACTCCCCGCCGGCAGCACCGTGCCCTTCATCATTGGAGCAGTCTTCAGAGTGCAGTGACGGCTCTTCGTGCAGCCTAACTGCAAAGCAGAGGTTGTCGGGTGCCTGGGACAAATATAGCGATGCGCTGGGTGTTGTAGTACAGCCAGCAAAGCGAGATTTTAGTAGTGCTAAGTCAAAGCCTCCATCAGGCCTTTACATGAATGTTTCCTTCAAGCACAACAGTAGCGTCAAGGAGCCGTCCATTCCAGCGGGTGCGAGCTTGCCCCCGCCAAGTGAAGTGATTCTCGGAGCCAAAACTGGCAATTCGGCCAGATTACCAACCTTGGCACCTCCGTCCCCATTGCCGTCTCGCGCAGTGCAGCGGCGCCCATCAGACTCCGCCAAGTTGTTGCGGAGCAGGACCGCAGACAACTTTCCCCAGATGCAGACGCCGAAGGGCGAAACGCTGCTCGACCGAGAGTACAACAGGGTGTTTAAGAAATCGCCGTCGGCGTCGTCCTCCCCAGATCCTGCTGCTCTCTCGGATAGCCCAGCCCCGTCCCCGGTACCACTGCCAGTGCTTACTAATTCTCTGATGCCGCGCTGTGCCACGAGCCAGGAGATTAAGGACCTCTACACGAATCGCCGAAACTCGTGGAGGGGCTCCCAGCAGGAGTTGATGATTCCACTTTCATCGGTAGGCAGCAGTGACCTTGGCTCTCCTCTAGAAGGGTGTGTGCAGTCACAGGACTACAGTTTTCGGGACTACTCATCAGCCCGATTACCCGTCGCAAAGGCCGGACGTCATTCCATCCCAATACCACCAGGGTCGGTGCAGGCCGTCCCATCCCGAGGAGGAAGGCACCGATCCATGGGTTTCTCGTGGCACCTCGAGTCCATCTCAAGGTGTCGAACGAGCACCCAGAGGTGAGAAGTTGTCGTCGTCATCTTTCCTAAGGGCGGGTGCTGCGCCTGCATCGGCTTGTTGTCAGGCAGCGCCTTCTCCCACCCCAACCAAGACATCGAGCCGTTTCTTTCACTCACCGAAGTTCCTCAAGAAGTTCGCTTCCTCGACACGGGAGGGCTTGTCCAACATGTTGCGTTCGCCGCGGCTTGAGAGAAAGAAGCTGAGTGCTGAAAGGGACATGTATGGGTCGCCCAAGCTTAGTCGCTCTTCTGGCGTCCGATTACTCAAGTCGTCAGCGTCTGCTTCTGCTGTGTCATCATCAGCCTGCAGAGGTGAGTGCTGTTGATCACTTTAAATCCTTGAGTGTGTACACAAAGAAAATGATTGAAGCGGCCATTTTGGAGTGTAGCTCTTACGTGCTCGTTCTCGAATTGAGTGGCATCGTCGTTGCTGTTGGCATCAATGGTGACATAAGAAATATAATGTGAGAAAGAAATGACCGGGATCAAATTGAATTTGAACCAGGTGTCTGCCACTGATAGCGTGCGGGATAAGAGTTAAATAAAATTAGTCATCACAATGCTAATTGTGCAGCGAGTGTGTGGTAGAAAGCTTCCCACCCACTGCAAAGTGCTTAGCCATAATTTTTCATGGTCATCAGCCACATGCAGTGTCAACAAAAGGCACATAATGCTTTACAGACGGGTAGCGATACTTCGCTTATCTGCAGAAAGACAAATAATGGCATAGTGGTTCTTGTCCCACAACACAAAAGTTATGGTTTATGGTGTAGTCGATACCTTGTCGAAAGCTAAAACTTCAAGTTGGCCTTGCCGCATCACAAAGCTGTGCACATAATTCACATTAGGCAGTATCCTAATTGTCAATGAAATTTTTTTTGTTCGTTCGGCACAATCCCACGATTTCAACAGCAGATCAAACCAAGAAAAGCATCAGAGCTGTCATCTGTAGCTTTCGATTGAAATGCAATTCAATTGTGGTGTAAAGTGTTGTGCACATGGATGAAAAGGCAACTTTCTGCCTCTGGGGATCAAACCCATCATCTTCATGCAATGTATTTGATGGGTATACCAGTTGCGCTGCAGTGGCGGTCGTTCCCCGACTATATTTTAAGGTATTTGTGTAGTTTGTGAAATACTGAAAGTGTCTGGCCTCAAAGGAAGGCTTTTCGAGTAATTTTCCATAAAATATGCTTTACCCTCAGTGAACATGGCTCATATGATTAAGTTTGACTGCATTTTTAGAGGGAAGCTGTCCTTGTCTGCTCTGTGCTGTTGCAGTAGTAGTAGTAGCAGTATAGTAGTAGTAGTAACAGTAGTAGCAGCAGCAGTAATAGCAGCAGCAGAAGTAGTAGTAGTAGTAGTAGTAGTAGTAGTAGTAGTAGTAGTAGTAGTAGTAGTAGTAGTAGTAGTAGTAGCAGTAGTAGTAGCAGTAGTAGTCACACCACAGGTGAATTACTTTTTTAACTTCCCGTAGAAGAGTTAATGAATTAAGAAAGTAATGGCATGATGATGAAACAAACAATAATGATACTGAAAATGAGAATAAGTTGTTTTAGTCTGCCCTTACATACACTGGAATGTCTATAGCTTCGCTGTCAGACGGCTTTCTTGACATGGAAGTAGCTGAAATATTTTGGCTGGTTTCATTAGGAAAACTGTCACTTTTCAGTTGGTGTTGGTGTTATCACCTCATGTATGTTTCGTAATTTTTGTGTGCACTTTTTCTTAAGCTGAACTTTGTTTGGTCATTTTCATAACCATTCATGTTTCTGTTGTTGCACATGCCAACATTGGCAGGTCCCCGAGGAGTCATCGCCATCGCCTTTGACGCACAAGAGTGGTAGCAGCAGCAGCCTCAACAGCAGCACTTCGGCGGGTAGCTTTGTCACGTCGTCGTCATCGTCGCACTGCTACGCCGAAGTGTTTGCACCACCCGGATCGGCACCTTTGGCACGGCCCGAGACGCCGGAGACGCCCCGTGCGCGGCCAACGATGGGAGTGTCCATGCTTCGGGGCAAGCGGCGCACTTCATCGAGTGCCGCGGGATCCGAAGAGCGCTCCTTTTCGCCCTGCTCGTTCGCGTCGTCTGCTGGAGGAAGTGGCAGTGGAGCCCCGTGGTCTCGGGATGATGGCAGTGTCTTCGGTGAGGAGATGTCACCTGGAGGGGGCGATGCCTTCCAGTTTGGGCACGGTGTGGATGGGAGCCCTGAAAGTGGTGAGTAGTAACATGGATGAAGCGCACGGGTCTAATGAAACTGACTGGCTATGAAGCTATGGAAGGGGTAGAGGACATTACTTCTGTGTCTCGACTGTAGTATAGTTCGTGTCAAACCTCTTTATGAGACACACACGTCTGGCAGCAATAAGCAGGGTATCATGTGTGCATTTTCTTATCAACCCCTATTTTAACTTGGTCATGCTGGCGTCTCTTATACCCAATTGTCTGTTACATCAGTGTCTCTTATCAAGGGGTTCGGCTGTATTATGACATGAATGGAAAGGAATTAAAGTGGATGAAAAATCAGCCTGCCGCAGGTAGAAACCAATCCTACAACCTTCAGATAATGCATCCAATGCTTTACCAATTGAGCTGGCGTGGCTGTGGCTCTCCCTTCCATTGGAGTATTTGTGTAATCCTGGTAGTGTTAGCCAGTGCCATGAGGTTTGCCTGTTGCTTTAATTCGGCTGGGTCTAATAAAAGAAAGAACCCTTGATCAATCTTTCCTTTGTTTTGTGCATAGTGGTCGTGTTATTGGGTGTTATTGTTCGTCCTCTACTTAAAATTTTTGGTGGTGCTCATCTCCAGTGGATACCCACTGTTTTCGGCAGTCTTTGGGCTCTTCTGCATTTTGTGCTTGACAGTCTGAAACTTTGCAAACATCGCTCTGAAATTGACATCTAGACTTGTCCAACAATGCATTATATGTAGTGTTCCCTTTTTTACTCATTTTTGCATCACTGCAATACAAATATGTTATGCCTGAGGAACAATAACATAGATGCTTGTTCATAAAGAATTTATTTTTGTGTTTGAGGTATGCTGTTGACACAACCTTAGCATAACTGTGTCATTACCGTAGCACCATTAGTGGTATACGTGTATAAGCCATTCCACTACGCGTCCGTATTTAGCTCATGTTATTGACTTCAATTGCTCAGATCTGAGTGAGGTGTGTAAGGTTTGCAGCTTGGTGCTAAATCTAGCTCTTTACTTGTTTTATTTTTAAATTGACTAACTACTGTTCTGTGAGCTAATTGTAATTCTCTTTGCATATGTCTCATCAGGAAAGCATCAGAAAAACATTACCTCAGAGATTTTGCGGGCTTCACCTGCGAGTTATTTTTCAGGAGAGCCCTTGCAAAAGTAACAGTGGCCATTATAGAATATTGACTCATTTTATGCGTTAATCAAACACATCGCTCGCGTAAAGGTTACATATTTTCACGTATTCGCATGACACGTATGTAAGTTGTGCAGAACAGTATGTTGTTACAGTGGTAACTCAGGGGGAGTGGGGGATGTCATAAACCTGCAGCCATTCCTGATTTGACGACCTTGTCCGCAAGGGTATTAGTTTTGCTTGTTACTGCAGTGTTGCGCACTCGTGTTTTAGTTTGAGCAAGTGTGCTATTGTGAAATTTCTTGTATCATATCATCACCATGAGGTGTTGGTGGTGCACTACGATACCTGTAATGACGTGGCATATGCTCATTCATAACTTTCATCAGAAAAGTGCAGCCACGTCGATGTACTGCATACTGTGCTTGCTTATTCGTGTGATAAATAGTTCCATTTAATCTTAAATCCTGTGATGTTAGACGTTGGTCTACTCTTGCTGATGACCTGTTTCTCGAATGAACTGGACTAGGATCAGCCTGTCGATCCAGATTCCGCTGCTTTTTCTGACTATGTCTTTTCAGCATGGCCCTGCCTTTTCTATTTCAGTTTTAGGAAGTGGATCCGAGAGGGAGTGACGACTCCGTGGGATCATAGTGGCAATTAAGGATGGAAGGCGGCCTGCATCAAACCAAAACAGTGACTAGTATTCTGTGTGGTAAGGCATTTCCACACGCTTGAGGTGCACCCCACGTATACGGGATATTGAAAGACGGGAACCTTATTTTTGTTACGTTTTGTTACTTCTCGCCTGTTGTAATTCTCGGCTCTCCTACGAGTAACCTGTGCTGCTGCTGAGGTATTCTTCCACCTACCCGTCAGTGAGATTAGCTGTCCTACTATTACTACCAGTTCTAGTGTTGTCTTTCAAGGAAAAAGTTGGCGAATCGTTCAGGGCCAATGAGCCGTTTCCATTTGATGAGGTACTACGCGATACAGCTATACTAAGAGTGCCTCGTATACATGATGATCACCATTTTGGTGATAAGTGCATAACATTGATTCAGGCACAATGTTGCGCCCTTGAAGTGATAGAATTTTATTAGTCAACATTTGCAGGGTCCGATAAATCATCGCTGGTACTAATCATAACTTTCTGGCAGCAGCCCTGGGATCAAAATAAAAAGAATAACCAACAAAGGAAACCAATGGTGATTTCCCGTCGGTATTTCTGAAGTTTCTAGGCATTGACTTCTAGAAAGAAACTGTTTACTATAATTCCCTGTGCCTGTACATTTCTACGAGGCATTAAGGCAACTGGTAGTCTCTGGTGACTCGTACTCATTCAGGAGAAGGAGGGTTGAGCTTTGTCGAATGTCTGTTTAAAGCGGCGGCTGTTCAGACAGTCGGCTACATTATGACATCATGATTTCCCGCATGTTTTTTCAACGTACAAATTTCGGCACATTCCCATCAAATTTTATTGCTGCTGTTTCTTTTTGCATTGATTAGACTGCGTGCTCTTATAGCAGCTGCTGACAGACTTCGACGACAGCTTTAAATTTTCTGTAGCAAACTAGATATCACAAGGTACACACACAATGCTCATTCAAAGGTGCTGACTAAAGCAAGGTTGTAGTGTTTGGACACAATGATGTCTTGTGTACCACGCAATATTTAGGCCAGTTTGACGGGAAAGCATCGCGCTAGTAATTCAGTGCCATCTTTTTCTTGGTTCCTGACTGTCCTCGAGGCATTTTGTACGATGCGGGCGGCACTTTCATGATTGTTTCAAATGTTTTTGATGCGCCTTGCCATAGGAAGAGTGAGGAACGTTTTTGTGTTCCAACATGCTATAAAGCCTAAGGGTGTTGACCATGTTTGCAGTGAGCATGGTTTTTATATGCTCCTAGCGAGCTGCCATGTATTGTGAGCTGTAATGTGTTTCCTCTCTTATAATGTATTTGTAAGTGACAGACCCGCAATAGGACTTTTTATTTAGTTTAGCATAACCTGTTATCGATACGCCACCTTCGAAGTCTGTAGTAGTATGAAAACTGTATTATTCACTAACTCTTACTGAACTTAAGCCACTCATTTTTTAAAATCTGCTGTTGTAACTGCATGCGAGCGTGAGACTGTGTGTTTTGCTGTCTTGTGGTGGTTCATTCTGTAGCTTTACGTTTTTTTGAGAGTAGTGCATTTGAGCCAAACTGTCTTTAGAGCTGTCTAAAGTTTCTACGCTCTTTTATGGCTTCATTCTAAGCTGTATTCTTGCGCTTTGTCACAGTGTGTAACGAAGAGCCAGCTGCCGTATCTCACACGGGACTGGACCCTTCGAAGTGTTCATGAACAAACTTTTTCACTCTTGCTGCTCTTTGTAGAAAGTTCCTGTTTTTTGACACGCAACTTGCCATCTGATGGTGTCCCTTACTGCGAATCATCTACACAAGAAAAAAATACCAGGGTTGTGCTCTTGCTGCACAGGCTATGTCATTTGTCAGTTGTGTGTTAGTAAAGGCGTCTTAGATGAGCTTTGCGATTGCAGCCAGGCCATTGTGATGGAAGTCCACTGTGAAGCCCATAGACGGGCAATGGTACGCCGAATGTGGTTGTGTGTGTCGGAGGTACATGTGACAAATATGTGGGATGGAGGGAGAAAGGCCAGTGCTGCATATAATAACTATTGTTCAACCGTGTTGATGCATTCAAATAGAGGGGGTGACAAAAACGACATGTGAAGGAGAACTCAGGATTATGTTTGTATAATATGAAATGAGTTTCAGAGTTTCTTGCTGAGAATGTACAAACGTGAAGCCATATTGAATAGGATGCATTAACGAGGTTTTACGGTGTTTAAATTAACATCCTCTGGTCTCTGTCACTCTCTGTCCGCCGTCTGTTTTGAGTTGCTCTACTATTGTAGAGGAAGGTTGTTCACTGTTGGACTTAGTGTTTACAATAGCTAGCCCGGCATAGGTGGAATGAAATCTTGTGAATAGATTGAATGATCCACATCAGTTTAGTCTACTTCTTATTTGAGATAATTGTTTGATTTCTAGATTTGTGTAGGACAGTGTTGTTCTTTGGGGTACAGCTGGGAGAGGGTTTCGTCATCATTTTTTACTCAGGGGCCAACTTGAAGCATCTAATAAAGCTTGACAATGTTTTGCTTTGACTTGTATTAACTTGCCCCAACTCATTGAGGCGAGCAGCCTTTTTTAGTGCCAGCTTCATTTGTGTGTTTTGCTAGTGATGCATGGAAGTTGTCATGAACGGCTGTTTGTTATGGGCATTGACTGCAAGAGAATCTTGTTGACGAAAGAGGGGTGCCTTGAAATCATGGGCATCACTTAAATCTTTATGAACATTATCGGATGTCTGCAATTTACCTGCTGTCATTGTATGTAGGTCTGTTATGGAGTGAAATGCTAAAAAGGCCCTCTTAAAGAAAAAAAAAAATTGATATGTAGCACTACTCAGATAGGCTCGATTACATATGTTCAAGGTCCCACTGTTATAGGACATCCTTGAGCATATTGATTCCACTCTCTCTTGGCTTCTACCTTATATTGCTTGCATTGAGAACAGTGTTTTCTCGACAGCCTTGCAGATAGATTGCACTGAACACTATAGGGTCGATGTTAGTATGGTCATGAGTAAGGTGGCAATGTATGCAGTTGCTTCCAATGTCGCTGATCTGCTTTGAATAAGTGTTCTGTCACTTTCTCTGGTTTCTGTACCCTGGTGCATAATTCAGTTCACATTCGAGGACAATGTGGCACATGAACTGGTTCATGTCATGCATCAGGTCTGTTTACAACGATTTGGAGAATTTTCAAGATAGTAGCCAGAGAAGTCACACCCGAGCTGAGCGTTCATCTGTGCTCTCAGAGTCGACGGAGACACCGGTTGAATTTTATCAGATCTAAATTGCACATATTGATCGAAAGCTCGAGACCACACTTTTATGTTCATGCCCCGCCGCGGTGGTCTAGTGGCTAAGGTACTTGGCTGCTTACCCGCAGGTTGTGGGATCGAATCCTGGCTGCGGCGGCTGCATTTCCGATGGAGGCGGAAATGTAGGCCCGTGTGCTCAGATTTGGGTGCACGTTAAAGAACCCCAGGTGGTCCAAATCTCCAGAAGCCCTCCACTACGGCATCTCTCATAATCATATGGTGGTTTCGGGACGTTAAACCCCACATATAAATAAATCAATCAATCAACTTTTATGTTATTGTTTGCGAGTTTGATTCTGTGAGCGAACTATACAAATTTCTTCTGTGTGCGTTTTTACAGACAGTCGATTGCAAATCCCTCAACGAAAGCACTTTATATTGCTGAAAGTCACCAGTTTAATGCGCCATCAGTGGCAGTGCCAAATGTCATTTTTGGGGCATATGTGGAGAGAATGGAGAGGATAATCTAGTTTTCTGAAATATCTTGACTTAAATCGAGAACAAGACTGGTTCAGTCTGAATAAGGTGACGCCTGACATGAACATGCAACAGTTGCTGATTACGTTTTTGTAAGCGCATTCTTAAGAGGCGTTACGATGACATCGGGTTTTAAGCCACGCAATGCCTGAGGTTAAGTCGCATTTCCGTATACTGGGATAACGAGGTAACTTCATGATGTGAAGATAAGGGAGTGAAAAAAACGTTCAGCACATGATTGATGGCATGTTTTTTGTGAGAAACTAGTGGGAGGGGGTACGTAAAACTTGAACAACTCCTCTTTTCAATGAGATTGTTGCAGTCAAATGGCGTAATTTTTTGTTCCTTTGATCGCCATAATCTGTGAGGCGAGATGTGGATATGTTGAGACGTAGAGGCATTATAGACTATGGCGATTCTGGTGAATGATATTCTTCCGGTGTTTTCTATTAAAGTATTGTTTATAGCAAAAGCATTGTTCTGGGATGCAAGACACAGTAATTTTCGAGCGCACAGTTAAGTGTCAGCCTATATATAGTATGTTATGAAGTGTAGAGGAGGCACATGTAATACATGGCAACATGCATTCTTTTTCTGAAATGGTACATTCACCCTTGTACAAGATCTTGACAGAGCTAGACCGTATGTAGGCATTAGTGATAACTTGTTTGGCAAGCATATCATGTATAATTTTGGCACATAAAACACCATAATTGTGCTGTATAGTCACTGACCAACATCACATCGATTCAGCAGTTTTCTAATGAAAAGTGGTCTAATCGAGCATTGTGCAAAATTCTGCCAGTTCAGCCCTGAGTTCATGATACAGAAACTTGTACTAGCTAAGAGAGAGAGAGAATCAGTATCAGCCTTGATGTCTTGACATTCTCAGGTCTGTGAAAAATGTGGCCAAAGCATTCTTTTTTCACATGACTTGTCTTGCTGACATGAATTTCTCTTGGTGATCTGCTCAAGGATGTTCTAAACGGTTAAACCTTCACACCATTTGTTTGTTCACATTGTCTGAGCTATATAAGCTTTTTGTACGGTAGTGCTAGTGCACACCACTAACATCGGTGTGCCATCGTTGGTAAGCTCTGTAACTTACTGGTAAGAGCAGATGATTTTGGAGTAGCTTGAAATGGGAAACGTTGTTAAGTTTAGAAAAAAAAAAAGTGTGTAAGTGTCTAGAAGAGTTAGTATAGGTTTGAAGGGAATTACTTCTTTTAAACGAAGGAGCTGTTCGTGTTTTCCTTCTCAACGCAACAGTCTTGTACAAATGTATATTTTTGTCTCCATATTGTACATATAATTGTATACACAAGGTGCATATATTAAAATATTTTATTCAGTGTTACGCTTCATAACAAGCAGTGTGTTTTGCCTCATTATTGTCACAATCTGGTTTGGTGGCTTACGTGTTTGTGAAAGTTATGCAACTTGTTGCCAGATATAAGTGCTCGGTCTTCAAAACACTAAGCAAAAAGAGAGAGAGAGAAATGGAGAGGAGAGGCAGGGAGGTTAACCAAGCTTTAGCTCGGTTGGCTACCCTACACTTACGGTTGGGCAAATGGGGAATAATAGAAAGGAAAAGATAGAGAACAAAGAAGAAGAAAGAGGGGGATAAACATTCAGCTTGAAACTACAGAACACGGTTTCGCGCTGTTTGTTCACAAACGCTCGTGATGTCCAGTAGTCCGGAAGAAGCACAAGAGAGCTTTCATGGCCTTGTGCATCTACAAGACCGTATACCAAGGTCTTAGGATCTTCTTTACTGTCAGTGGTCTTGAATCCAAGTGACTGAGCTTGGTTCCCATACCACGTTGTTGAGTCGTGTAAGTCTTGTATGATTGTCTTAGCATTTAAAATCACTCTCCCCCCCCCACCCATTAAAGGACTACGGCTGGATCGAGCGCATCTGGCTGACATTGAAAAAAAATCGAGGCTCTGGTCTAACGTGCGCACCTGCTGTACTGGGTAGTGAGGTTTGTCCAACTCCTGTTGCGCATACACCTGTGGCTTCTTGCGACATCTCATAAACTACGGCTAGCTACTACACTTTCACCATTAAAACCTGCGTGGCCCCATAGCCTGCCTCACTGAACGATGGTGGACCCGGTCACACTGAGTAAAGTATCGCGCGCGAGCGTTTTTTTTTTTTTTTCTACCGTGTACTCAGATTTGGGTGCACGTTAAAGAACCCCAGGTGGTCTAAATTTCCGGAGCCCTCCACTACGGCGTCTCTCATAATCATATAGTGGTTTTGGGACGTTAAACCCCACATATCCATCAATCAACGTTTTTCTAAAGCTTCTGATAACGAAAAGTGTTTGATTCGACTCGGATGTGGTATTGAATGCTGCATACTAGGAGGAACGATTACTTTTAGAGTAGCAAGCAGTGTTGAAAGATATCACAGGCTCATCACAAGGGCGAAGAAATGATTGCGATATGAACGAAATGTAATGTTACCTTATTTACTCGATTCTACCACGCCCTCGATTGTAACGCGCACTCTGTTTTCACGACGAAAAAAAAAAGTAAGACATCGATTGCAATGCGCACCCATTTTTCTCGTTTGCCCGCACGATCACACTACTCAGGAAAACGACTTCTTTCGGGAGCGTCTTCCGTTTAAATATGAGTTACGGGGGAAGCTTGTGCCTATCTGACGTGCAACGGAGCATTGCCGTCACTCTTGTTTTACCGTGGACCGATGTCAGCACGCGAACTTGCTTCGCCCCCTTCTTCTCGACGGTTGTGGTGCCAGGCATGTCGAAGTAAAGAGGCGTCTGATCGGCATTCCCGATTTGCCCAAGCAGGTAGCCGTTGTTGTGCCGCAAGTTTAGGACGAACCTCTGAAAACTGTGAAGCTTTTCTTCGTACTCCTCCGGCAAGTTTTGGCCCATGCCCGTTCGCTTTCGGAGGGAAAAGCCTTTCCTCTTCATAAAGTTAGTTAGCCAGCACCTGCTCGCTTTAAACTGGCTCCGCATTAGACCTTTTTCTAAGACTAATTGCATAGCCCGCACTTGGAGCAGTTCTGTCGTCACGGGCCGCTGTGCCGCTCGCTGCTCAAGCACATACTCGCCGAGCAGCTCTTCCAATTTGCGGAAACCGGCCCTGCTGTGGTCCACTGAAGCCTTTGCGTGAATCTTTGCTGTCGACAATCTTCTGCTTTTGTTTCCGCCGGTCCCGCACGCACGTTTCGGGAACTCCGAACGACCGCGATGCGGCCCGATTTTCGTATGTTTCGGCACACGCGATGACTTTTAAAAGCGGCATCGTGATGCCGCTTTTACACACAGGCAGAAATGGCCGACGCGCCATGCCGAAGCACGTAGGGAGCGGCCATTTCGGAAATGCCGATGGCAATAGAAGGACTGTATTAATTTTTTTTTCGCACTCGATTGTAACGCGCATGTGATTTATGAACTCGCTTAACCAGAACAAAGGTGCACGTTAGATTCGAGTAATTACGGTATATGGTGCAAGGCTGGCAGCTAGCTCTCTTAGATCCGATCTCGTCTAACTAGACAAAATGCTAATGTAAGAGAACACGGCTACTCCAGGGAGAGCTGCGCTTTTCTCACAATCTCTTCGGGCTGAGAGCGCAGCACACAGACGGGTATACGAGCTGTTCCCCTCTTCTATTTTAAAAGAGCTAGAACACAACGCACGTGTGAACACGCACAGATCTGAAAATACTGCAGGCCCGTGTACTCAGCTTTGGGTGTATGTTAAAAAACCCCAGGTTGTCGAAATTTCCGGAGCCCTCTATTACGGCGTCTCTCATAATCATATTGCCACCAGCAAGTAGTGGGTCGACAGCAAGAGCGGCTCTCAATCTGGAGGAAAAAGAAGATCGCGTGCTTCTTTCTCTGCTCGAGAGCCAGCCACGACTGACGCATCGCCCTAGAGATTGCTACCCGGTGGTTTAATAAATCCCCCAGTACTTGTGACTCATCGTGACAAACTGGTGGAAGTGCTGGGTAGTCTCACGGATGCTGCATACCCCCCCAGGAAGCCGTCATACGAGTCCAGTGCCAATCAATACTCCCGTGCATCGGACCAGCCGCCGAATCAGGGGATTGCCTCCGGAAATCGACGATACTGCTCCAACCACGTCGACAAACATGACCAGCGCTTCGGTGCAAACCTCGTCAACAGGCACGGGAAGCACGACGTCGAACCGCTATACGTTGGAAAGCCCACGGGCACCGGCGACGTTCCATGGCACGGAGCACGAGGACGTTGAGGACTTGTTGGCGGACTTCGAGCGTATAGCCACCTTGAATCAGTGGGACGACGCGGCGAAACTGGGTCGTGTCTATTTCTATCTCGAAGACGGGGCACGTACGTGGTATCAAAACCGAGAGGAGCACTGCAGACCTAGCCCAGTGCTGATAGCCAAGAACGAGCTGAACGAGCTATTCTGGCCCGCGTCCTTGCCAAACGAAACTGTGACCACGTACGTGAAAGACATGACGCGCCTCTTCTGACGGGCCGATTCAAGAATGACGGAGGACAAGAAGTTGCATCACTTGATGCGCGGTGTCAAGGACCAGCTTTTTGCCGGCCTCGTGCGCAGCCCTCCGAAGACGGTCGCGGAGTTCTTGTCCGAGGCCGTGACAATGGAATAAATGCTGCAGCAGCGATCCAACCAATACGACAGGCAAGTCAGTGGCATGTCTACTGCCGACATTTTCACCGCCACTAGAACCAGCAACGACCATCTACGTGAACTCATCCGTGATATAGTACGTGAAGAGTTGCAAAAGGCTGGTGTAACACCTCATCCTACGGTTAGCTCAATTGCAACTGTGATCAAGGATGAGCTGCACCAGGCCCTCCGGAACACCTTGCCTTCTGATACAGCTGCACCAGTTCCTGCTGAATACCGCCGTGAGACAACTTACGCGGAAGCCTTGAAACGCCCTGCTGCATCGCCACCATTACTCGTCCATCCTGTTCCTGCTGTTGCACTCCAGTCAGCACAGCACATACCGTACTACGAAGGCACGTACACGCCACCGTCTTTGCCCTTTGTCCCGGGCGCTCCTGTCGCCCATCGTTCGGTGCCACCAGTTCAGTACATCGACGATCGGCGCACGTCTCCTCGGAAGTCTGATGTTTGGCGCACAAACCGAGTTCAGGTCTTGCTTCGCAAGTTGCTCAAAGATCCGCCAGACGTCTATCACTCAACACAGGATCATCACGTACGAGGACGCACGCCCGATACACCAGAACCCCTACCGCGTGTCGGCTAAAGAACGTGAAGCGATACGTACGCAAGTCAGCGAGATGCTTGGCGATGGCGTTATTGAACCATCTAACAGCCCGTGGTCGTCTCCAGTCGTACTTGTCGAAAAGAAGGACGGGTCGCTACGCTTCTGCGTCGACTACCGAAAGCTTAACAACGTGACCAAAAAGGATGTGTATCCGCTGCCACGTATCGACAATTCGCTGGATAGACTTCGTCGTGCCCATTATTTCACTCCTCTCGATCTCAAAAGCCGGTATTGGCAAATCGAGGTACATCAGCGAGACCGTGAGAAAACAGCCTTCGTGACTCCAGACGACCTATACCAATTTCGAGTGCTCCCTTTTGGCTTGTGTTTAGCGCCGGCAACTTTCCAGCGAATGATGGACACTGTCTTCACAGGGCTCAAGTGGTAGACTTGTCTTGTCTACCTTGATGATGTGGTGGTCTTCTCTACCACGTTCGAGCAGTACCTTCACCTCCTGCGCAGCGTGCGGGAGGCTATCCGATCAGCGGACCTCACACTAAAGCCACAGAAGTGCCACTTCGGCTATAAAGAACTAAAATTTCTTGGACATGTAGTTAGCGCCGAAGGAATCCGGCCCGATCCGGATAAGCTTGCCGCTGTGGCCGATTTACCTACTCCTGTCGATAAGAAAGCCGTCCGGCGCTTTCTTTCTTTGTGCGCCTGCTATCGCCGGTTCATTCATGGCTTTTCACAGATAGCAGAACCTCTGACTCGTCTCACAAGGGACGACACGCCGTTTGGCTGGGAAAACGAGCAACAAGCAGCTTTTGATGAGCTGCGACAGCGCGTGCAATCAGCGCCCGTTCTCGCTCATTTCGATGATGATGCTGACACGGAGGTCCATACCGACGCTAGTACATTGGGCTCGGTGCAGTGCTCGTTCAGCGTCAAGAGGACGCCGAAAGAGTCATAGCCTACGCCAGTCGCTCTCTATCCCGTGCCGAGGCGAATTATTCCACTACGGAGAAAGAGTGCCTCGCAGTCGTGTGGGCAATCACCAAGTTTTGCCCGTACCTTTATGGTCGTCCCTTCAAGACAGTGACGGACCATCACGCGCTCTGTTGGTTGGCAAGCCTGCGTGA